ATGACACCCCCTTGCACTGGATGATTCAATGCGAGCAGGCCTGGGTGAAAAAGCCGCAGCTCACCTCCATCACCTCGCTGCCAGTTCTCCTGACATGTGGGTCTCATCTGAAAACACACAGGCAGAGCACTACTCCTCAAAGATCGAGGCAGCGGCATTCAGGTAAACAAGAGCAGTGAGGAGTCTACCGTTGCCGGAAGAGTTGTCCGTGTGACGGAAGTACCCTCGGCATGTCCAGCTCGAGTGCCGGAACAACGCTCGAGAAAACAACTGACCTCTGTGGACAGGAGGCTGGCACGGCTCTCCGCAGGATAGCACGTGAACATCGTCTCTGACCGCCATTGCACACCTCAACTCTGCGAGAATGGATTATGCCTGGGTCGCCGAGAGCTTTTCATGGGCTTTGCATGCACTCGCCTTTGAGTGCCGATGACACGGAGGGCACCACGTCAGAAGCATTGCGGCACAGCCCAAATATCACCTCTTCGATTCGTGCCTCGCCCAACCATGGCAGAGAACACGAGAAGTGCGAGAAACCCACAGAAGAATGAAAGGATAGGGCTCGCACAGCAAACTCGGCTGCGCAGCGGGTTGCTTCGCTGTCTCCGTCATAGCCGACCCACTTCAGAACATCACCACCTCGCGAAAGCCAAGGTGAAGGGGCAGTAAAGCTATCATTCTGAGATGGCGCACGGTGTGCAATTCCCACGCGATCGCCGCCTCGGAATCGAGCTGCACACGCTCGTGAGGGAACTTTGTCTGAACCTGTCCTGTCTGATTGCAACTGCCTCACAAACTCACGGCAAGATGTGAGTTGCTTTCGACTATCTCCAACTTTTGCCGCTTGTACCTGCTGCCTTCTCTTCCGTACGGCTCTCAGTTCAGTTCTGAGATGAGGCTTCCCCCTGGATGCTGGACAAGAACATGCAGCAATTTGGGCATTGTCCGCTTCTGTGGCCTCGGGCCCTCGGGGCACCGCCTGGAGCCGCTGTCGTGGGTGACATGGCATCGTGCCCTCTGTAAGTCGAAGTTCGGCGGTTGCAATTCAGCGTGTTCGGTCGGCTGCGGGGCACGGATGATGCTCGTACTTTGGCAAGTCGGGCGTTCAATTATTCTGCGCCCATTGGATAACAGTGGATAACCATCTCCTCACAAACGGGATTTCAGCGAACCTTTCGTCTGCCGCAAACTCAGACTACGACTTGTAGCATGCCGACGACACCCTGTATACTCCTCGCAAAGACCATACCGATACTTCAAGAAGGCCAAGAAAGGGGCCAAACGAACGTATAGAGATCGGCCGACATCTCTGGGAGCAGCCCGAGTTGGCGCAAATTCCACGCCGCATCCATGCATGCCAGCGGTAAACTCCGACGACAGAAACTGAGCGGAACACCACCCGTTGTAGCCCCCAGTTGCATCTCAGAGTTCTGATACAGGTCCAAGTTGCTTGCCTGGGCTTGACCGCAGCTGAACCAGCTTCGGGAAACCAGGACAACGGCCGTGCCTTGACTCGCCTGATCACCTCGTCGGGCAAGAAGTCGTCAATCAAGACAAAGCCAACCTCAAGTGCCGAACGAAAGGTGAAGTTCTCATCTTCGCTGACAACAAGATCACAAGGTGGAACCCACGATGTCTACATTAAAGCCTACGGAAAAAAGCCGCCTGACCTCACCCATCATCGCCTAGATCTGCCAGGAAAGTCCTGCATACGATCTATGGCTAATCAGCAGCGGACCTCGTCCAGTTGCTGGGCCAGGGATTTCAAAGCCTGCAGGCACAGCACCTCCATCCAACAACAAGGAGCACAGGCAACATGCCTCTGGCTGCTTCCACCATTCGGCTTTCAAGGATCTGATTGCGCAGGTGCAGCCCAAACGTGGTGAAATCATGATTCAAACCACAGGGCCTTAGGGGGCGGAAATACGTCTCTTCCAATGCTTCCATGTCGTCTTTGCTGGGGTGCTCAAGACCTGTCCGATCCGCCAGCGTGTCTAGCATTCTCTCAGTGTCTGCCCCAAGCATCTTGAGAAGTCTTCATCCTCATCAGGCAAGGCGCAGGTTCTGTAGCGAAGCTCTCGCAGTAAGGGCCACGGATCCATCTCCAGGTCCTCCAGATCTGCGATGACGCGGCTCTCAAGGCAACTTGCCGTGTCGTGGGCTGTGCGCATCGATGTTTTTTGTGCTAGTCGCAATTGCACACGGCACAAGCATGTCGAGCATGCATTGGCGCAGCTATACAGGTCGCGGAAAATCACAACCTGCAGACCTCGCGTAAGCCATCTGTTCATTTATTCTCCTTGATCTTGCTGTGGCTCAGCAGATCGGAAAGGGAGGAATTGACAGAGCTGAGGCAGTGGTAATTGCACATTGACCTGCATCAGGAATTTTCAGGACCTGTGAAACAGCGATTCGAAACTCCTGGGGTAGTCGGGAGAAAGAGCAGGACTGCTCGAGTGACACCCTCAAGTTGAAGTTACATGGCATACTAAAGTGGTTCCCAGGAGAAGCTGCTTGGCGATGCGGCATCGTCTAACACTCCACGGCCTGCGAAAGTATCCGAAGGACAAACAAACGCCGGATTCTGTGTCTTGGCGGTATTTTTGCCGTTGCCATGCCATCGGCAGGGAGGTTGGAGGCACTTGTTCCGTCCGCGAGAGCCCGAATCGCATTTGGTCCACGGCTTCCTACCACTGCTGAGAAGCTCACAGGACCCCGAACCACAGGAGACGAGTCCGACCTTCTTTCCACCCTTTCCCGCAGATTCCACCCGGAACCGGCACATGTGGTTTGGGTCACTGACTTCGTGCAGGGACGTAGCCGTGAGAGTGCGCGTACCACTGCGCATCGGTTCTGGATGCAACGTCCGCAGGTGCTGCCGGTCTCTGTTTTCTCACTAGCATGAGTTTTGGGACGCACCACATAGCGCCACAAGACGTGGACAGTGGAACGAGAGTCCGCACAAGACAAGACAAGACAAGTTGCCATGCCAAGCCCCGTGTAGGACACTCACACCCTGTCCACCCCCAATTCGAAGTCCTCTCAGGGTGCAGAAGGCAGGCCACGTCCTCTTGCTATTGCTCTTGCTGTCGCTGCAGGCTCGTCCCACCCATTCGCATCGCAGAATGGCTTCCACATGACTGCTCGTAGGAGTGGCCCGGTGGCCAGGAACAAATTCCTCCTTTCGAAATGAACTTCGCAATCCCGAGAGAATCGGCGAGGCTCAAGAAATTCCAGTTGGGAGCTCAGGGAGTCCGCCCGGCCAAGCTTTGCTCCACCAGATTTACGTGGTGTCTGTGTCGACGACCTCCTGGCGCGTTTGGAGTCTCACAGGGAAACACAACTGGCAGCACAGTCTGAGCGTGGGTCGTCTGCCAACCTCTCTTCTGCGGCCGATTCGACATCTTGATATCCTGCCATTCCATGCTCACTGCCATCTCTTCGAGGTCCACCAGACTGGTGACCATGTGCTGCAGAAGTATGCGGCGAGTGTGGATCTGGTTGTCGCCCAGTACTTTGTGAAAGCCGGATCCTGAAAGTGTCTTCGGCTCCCGTTGCGAAGGCTGCGCTGAACAAAGCGCTTGCGGTGGGATTTGCTTTATGGAGCAGCCTTGGACTCGGGAGAGCCCGGGCTCTTTTTGCAATGTGACGCCCTGGGACTCTCCCCTATGAGGCCTGCCTGAAACTCGAGCACAAAACAAGGGCTGCAATCTCTGAAAAGTGATTTCAGCATCCGGAAGCTGGAGGCGCAGGGCTTTGGTCCTCAATCATGGCTCCGCCAGGCAGCACCGCGCAAGCGCAAGCATCCCGTCGGAGTCGCTCCACACAATCATCACTGAGGTGCCGCTGCCTGGCTGCAGCATGGCTTAAAAAGAACGACCGAGCAGAGCCGGCGGCCGGGCCTCGCCAGCTCGAGGAGAGCCGCACTGTCCTAGCTCACTCGCGGTGGGATACAGGAAGGGCCAAGCAGCGGGGCGCTCAGAACTGAGAAAGCAGCGTTCGACGGCACGATCGCATAGGACACAGGTCGGGGAGCCATTGCACTGTCCTGCTTTTACGACTTGAGTTTGGGTTCTTGCCGTGTTGCCGTCTGAAGAAGCCAGCTAATAGCCTGCTCAACAGCAACCACAACCTGTGCAGGTGCCACTGTCGCAGCCAAGCGTGATGCACGCTGTTGACAATTGAGGCTGGAGCTTCTCCGGCTTGTTTTGAGTTCCGATCATATACCACAACGACCTGCTTTGCAAAAACATAAAATCCAGGTTCCGAAGAATGGGACTGCACGGGGTCCCAGCATCATCTGCCGCAAAGGCTGCAGCTGACAAGATGGCTGTAAAATCCTCAGCGTGACTAGCACAATGCCGGCTCCTGCTACACAGATGACCAAACTCGAGGCTGCGGCTTGTCCACGCCTCGGTGACACATGCGATCAGTGGAAAGGCCGTGCTGAGGCTGGGCTGGCTTCGGCACCTTCTCTTGGCAACACTTCTGCGCGGCACTACAGCAAGCAGAGCTCCCGCCAGTGCTCCTGCCAATGTAGCACGACAGTGGAGCTTCAGAGTTCCCTATCCGTGATGCCTCTAGCGAGCTTGCATCTCTCGTCGAACGAATGTCGCCGGAGCGAAATGCCAATCTGCCAGTGCTTTTGGAGGGAGGCGGGTGCCTGGATGGCACAAGCCATTCAATGCTGACCGGAGTGCCTGAAACGCTCAATGATGCTCACAACCCCACGATTTTCTGCGTGCATCCACGTTTCTGATAACAAATGAGGCCGGCGTAAACGGACACAGAGGCTTTCCATGGCAAGGCTGAGCGGAGGGATCAAATTGAACTAGGACTGGGAGGGCTCGTGTGCCTTCTGCGAATCCCTGTTGTGCAACTTGTTCGTCGTCCTATGCGTGTACACAAGGAGCCGACGAGGCCTGGCCGGCACGCAGATGCAGAGCTGTCGTGCCAGGGACTTGCACAGCCCTTTCGCACAAACTTTCCTGGGGCCTGGCTCTGCGGCTATGTGAAGCGCCTGGACAACATGCACCCAACACTCGCACCCGGCTCCAACAAACGATCTGTGGTCCCAGCTTGCACTTTTACCAGAGGCACCGAACCCTGCACCGCGAATGCGTGAATGCACGAAGTCGCATTGCTGAGTAATGCAGCCTTTCGCACCTGAAAGATCGGACATGTCAGCCAACATGTCCAGGGTGTCGGCCTTTTCAGGACAGCTCTGTTCATTTTGCGGGCATGGCAACCCTTGAAGCACCGTCCTTCGAGGCTCCTCCACCTTGAAACGAGCAGGTGAGACACGCCCATGTCTCTGCATCCGGCAGGTTGCATGAGGCCAATTGCGTAGCACTTGGACTCCGGCCGGGTCCTGGTGCGATCTCCTGTCAATCTGGACGCAGCCCTCTACAGCATGAGATGCCCAAACTCGTCTGCAAACTCGCACAATGCATACCAGGAGGTGGTTTCCATGACAAGAGCTCGGACAGGGCAGAATGGCAGAAACCGCCTCGTCATCTTCTGGCTCCTCTTCCTGCAGCTCCGCTGCTCCGAAGATTACACGCGAGCAGCTGGAAATGATTTCGGTCCTCGAGATCTTCATCCTCCAGTCCCTGCTCCTCTGCGTCTTCCTGGAACTCATCGCCTGAGTCCTTGCCAGAATTTCCTAAGTATCGCGCAGCTTCAGTGTCCCTTTACGGCCTGCACGATGTGCTGCTGTTTGTGCTGGCATTCTGCTAGTCTTGATCAAGTATTTCGTGCCACATGGGCCACATTCGTTGAGTCGGACATTGGTCGTAAATGGTGTTCTGGACGCCGCGCACACACACACACACACTGGGCCAAACTCTAGACTCCACTTCCACGTGCCGGGAGTGCAGAAGAGGGGGGCGACGGATGGGGTGACGTGTACATGTGGCAGGAGAGCCACACGGTTCTCCTTTTTTCGTTGTGGAGGGTTTATGCAAGCGTTGCACATCTGGCAATCTGCAGCGGTCTGGTGTGGAGTAGCCTCGGTGCCCAGGAGCCATCAATCAACTAACTTCGAAATGTTCTTTCTCTGTGTCGGTTGAGATCTCCCTGCCGTTTGTCTCCGATAAAACGAGGTCGGCCACTTCTGACTCCGCGAAGAATGTACATGGCGTTCGCATGTGTGTTCATATGCTTGTCTCGTGGTTTCGCTGCCTTTGCAATGACACTTCAGGTGTTTGTCCACGGTTACACGACATGCGTGGACTCGCAAAGTCGCAAGAACCAGAAACGCGGAAGTCAAACCACAACAGCCAGAGCAGCCGACGATCCAGCTGACGCACAAAATCGACATGAAGCACGAGTTAGTGCAAAAGGTCTCTGCTACTGACTGGTGGAGACTGTCTTGGAGAAAGTATGTATGTGGGCTTTGCTCTCAAATCACATCTCGTACTACCACTAACTACCAGGCAGCAACAACCACAACGTGCCTACCCTTTGTTGCGCACCTCCGGCACTGCAGCCTCTCCTGTCGCCTCTTCTGCCATGACCAGGCTGTCTTTACCCTGAGTTACAAAAAAATCATTCGTGGGACTCGTCTCCCACAGCGCTTGTGGCAGGCATCTTCGAATCTGCACTAAACGAGAAGCACACACAGCTCTTGCCTCTAAGGGCCCTGGAGCACCATGCCGGCAGCAGCAGTTACGTCTATCAGCATAAATGCATTACGGTATGCATTCCATGTCGTAGTTACATCATGACTGGCTCGAGGAGCATGATGGGGCGAGAGAATCTTCGGGATTCAATGGCTGGACGAGCCTATCAGCATGGCATGCTGCTCGAGCACGACGACGGCTTTATGCTATGCATAGCAACTGAGTGCGCTGTACCAGGGCTTGACCTGGCAGCTTTAAATCTTTGAATACCTGCTCGTTCATGGTGTGGTTGGGCTCGGCTTTTCAACCATGCCACCGCTGGTTCGCGCCCTGCGGTTGCTGGGAAGGCCTCGTGAGCCTTTCTCCGGGTGCAGGCAGCGGCAGCCCTGCTGCCGAATGAAAAAAAGACCCCTTTGCGAGAGTTAGCTGAGTGCTCAAATCAAGCAAGTTTGGCGTTTAGTCAGATGTAGCCGATATAGCACGCAGAAAGGTGAGAGCACTCGCTCTTGAAAGTCCTCTGTCATAAGGGATCTCTGCCTATGCTAAAGAAAAGGATCATCGCGGCTTGACCTTGCTGATGTCTCGATCTTTGAGCTTCGCATCCAGCCTTGCTTCTAGGCTGTCGGCGATCTTGGACCTCGACAGGAACGGGACCGACTGGACCATACTGGACCCTGTGACATGCCCAGAGCAACCAGAACAGCTCCCGCTCAGGCCCTGGCTCCTCCGCCTCCAGGGTCATCATGTTGGTCAGATAGTCTTGCATGCCCATCATGCCCTGGGTGCATGGAAGACGAGCGTGTGCTTTCACCATCCTTCCAACTCAGGCCCTCACAGTGCTGCCCTTCCTTCTGACATACTCATTGACCTGACTTGTTGCAACTCTGATCAGCAATACCTTCTGAAAAGAGAGGTGAGGTTCGTCTCAGGGCCCCGCATCCTGACCGTTCAACAGAACATCGGCATCACTCTGAGTCTCCTGCCCAAACAAGCCGTGCAACTGCATCCCGCACCACCAGAACAGGAGTTCAAAAAAACGGCTGCGCCTGCTTTGGGATGATTGGCTCAATCTTTCCCAGTTGGAAGAAGCCACCACCGCCGCTCGGCCTAAGAGCTGGAGCTGGTGACACACCAATGCGGCAACGCGCGATAGGCGGGCGTATACTCAGCTCTTCACTGTTCTCCGCCTTTCCTTGCTGTGTTCCCACGAGTACCAGGATAGACATTGCAAGCTTCCAGGGCACTGGCTGCTGCTGCCTCTTTCTATCTTCCTTAGACTGGTATGGCTTCACCTTCATTCGGGTGTCCTGCCGTCGAGGCGAAAACCTTTTCTTGCAGCGAAGTGCACTCTCTCACACCTCGCCATCCACTTCCCACACGCCCTTGTACCTCCCAAGAGAACTAGTCGAAGTGTGCCGAAGTGCAACACTAGTATTGCAAAGACCTTGGTGCCCCGCTCCAAGGCAAAGCCCTGGCACTCGCCTGTTGGCTTCTTTACCATCCTGGCTGTGCTGTTCTTCTACCAACAGTACATCCTGCCAAAAAGAACTCCCAAGCCACAATAGCCACAAGAAGCGAGCTGAAACAGCAGGCCAGGAAGACTGGAACTGCTGACAGTCACTATAAGTCAGGTAAATGTCGGCATCGTCCTAGTTTCTGACAGTAACCCACGCTGTGAGAAGTCGAGTCGAGCACATAGTCATTCCTTCTTGTAAACCGCTCTGCCATTCACCTGCCCGACTACATTCTCATCACATCTCATGCCAAGACATGCCCAGACGACATACAGTATGCGGAACGACCGGGTCAACAACCTTTGTATCCGGGAACACGCTCCAAAGACCTTGGCATCGGGGGAACACGTGCTGTCGGCGAGGTCTCGCTGCGAGAGTATAAATCCGGCTGCCAGAACTCAGAGACATGCCGTTGACATCCTTGGCCCGCTTGCCGCTCAAGCCATAAGCCTGCAACATAATCACGGGCTACAACGGGTGCATTCCTTCGAGCGGCAACTCCACGCTGAAGACCAAACTGCCAGTTGTAGCCTCCAGCTTCCCCGGGCTTTTGTCGGCCGCCAGAGCTGGAGCCTTGAAGCGGCGACGCTGGGACGAAAGGAAATGCAGGCGAGTCGGCGAGCCGAGCAACCGCGGATCCCAGCAAAGGCAAAGCCACGACCGCACCAAGGAGACCTCGCCACTCCGCTGACGGATCGACGGATTTCAGGTGCTGTGCTCAAGGGCCACAACTTCTGCGCGATGCCACATCCTGACGCAAGGACACATCACTTCCACCAAATCAGGACCTGCAGGGCCTGGTGTTCGTGGGTGCGACTTGGAACGATGAAAGTCAGCGCAGCCTCAAAACAGTGAGGTCTATCTGCCAATCTGGCCAAGTCGAGCTGCCTGCCCTGAAGCTGAGGAATCAGCAGATCCCAGCACAGCCACCGCGATCGCCTAAAACATATCGACTCGGTTCTGTTGGCGTCTGCTGCTTCCCCACCCCTGAGTTTCTCGCAAGTGTTCGCCGACGCGATGCCTGTCACATGCTCTACAATCCTGGCTTTTCAAAGTTCATCCCCCAATCACTCAAAATGATCCTCACAAGATCTCGCAAGCTTTTCTGCGACAATGGTTGCGCTTGTCGCGGCCGTTAAGCCATCTGACATCCCGTGACATCTCGAGCATGCCACACCCAGAAAAGCAGCTGCTCGACACTTCCTGCAGCCTCGCTCGAGCACCTCAGATGGCCAGATGCAATAAGTAGAAAATAGCGACTGGCATCTGAGCGTCTGAAGCAGCTGCTGAAGGCCACGTCATCAGGACTGCAGGCTCGGCGGATGATGCATGAAGGGGACGATGAAGCCTACTGCAGAGCAAGGATCGGCCAATGCTTACATAAACTTAGCACCGTCGAATCTAGCCCTGGGTCAAGTCGCTTCTGCAGCTGCGAAGCCATCGTCCCTGTAGAACCTGAGTCGAAGAGCACGGCAGGTTCTGCCAGGATCACGGACTGTAGACTGCGCGCCGACACACCACAAACTTGCAACTGCAAGCTGTTTGTCCACATCTCAATTTGTGAATCTCGGGTGTGCGTTTACATCCGCACTGTTGTGAGGATGCAATTTGTCCAAGGAATGTTAAGTCAGGTCGCAACGGCTTCGCATGCCTCTTGACTCTCTTAAACTCTGCCGAATATTCTGCTAGGTGGCTTGTTCTTGCCTGCACAGCAGCCGACAGCACGCGATGGGCGGCGGAGTCCATGCACCTTCGCATGCTGTCACACAGCGGCTCGCCGGTGGAACCTTTGGGAGCGTAGGCGCAGGCATTGCATCTTTTCACAACACGTGAAGACATCGCGAGCAACGCTACGTGCCGGGCACTTGCTGGCTTCACCAGTGTATACCTTACCGCGCATCAGACTGCCGATCATGGATGCCGCACGAATGTGCACGCAGAAACAAATGCCTCCAGAGCTTGATTGAGATCGAGCGCGGCGACGTGCTCCGCCAAACCTCCCCAACTGCAGATTGAGTCTCCGTCTGAAGCAACCTGACAAGATCTCCAACGGAGGCCTTCGCCATGGTTTGGCGAGAATTTCGGCAACATTAATTACAAGTGCTCTTGTCGTTCACATTGCAATGTGCGGTGAACAAGTTCTGCGTGTTTGAACTGTATACAGATACAGGTTAACGGGTTATGAGCTTCAAAATTTATTTTTTGCTCACTCCTCTTTGCGGAGATGATTCATCCAGATCACAGCGTGAACATGCGTGAACACTGCGGCTCGATCACAAATATCAGGTGGCTGTCTCTGTGTGACTTGGGCATGCCAACTTCTCGACCAGCTCAAAACAAACGTGGCAGGACCCACCGTGAAAGACCTGAAAGCAATCGCCAGCATTCCCTAGAGTTCTTGTGGTTTGCGGCTTCCATATTTCACTTTCCTGTTAACATCACTTAACCACCGGAACGTGACGTCTAACCTCAACGGCTTCGATACAGACTCTACAGCCTGCACAAAGAGCTAATCCAGGCAGCCGCATGGCTCTTTGAGACTTCGGGACACCCGCCAACGTATGCGTGAATCGCAAAGACACTGCATTGCTGCATCATGCCTCTTCATCTCCATACTTGGACAACACACTGTGACTGTGACATGGTGGCTGCCGAGTAAATCGCAACATGAGGATATTTTCGGCTGTGGAGCACGAAAAGGGCCGAATTGATCTGAGGTGTAAGAATTCGAAACTGCCACTAGATCTCTGAATTAATGACTAAGCTCCTGCGACCTCGTGGGTGCACATGTAAAATGGGAAACCGTGCTTCTAAGAACTGAGCATGTGCTTCTCTTGGGCTCTCCTGGCCCCTTGTCCCTGTCACCTACGCCCGAAGCAAAAACGCAACACACCATCATCCATCACCCGCATGTACATTTCGGCGACACCATGGTTTCTGTGCTGGGTGGCCCTGAAACCCGGTACAACAGTTGAAATTGAACACAAACCCCGCAAGTTGCTTCAGACACCACGGATGTGCGGAAAATCCGCCTGGGCACCCCCGTTTACATCCGAAGCACCGGAACAGACTGGAATGAGTTTTAATGACATGCAGGCCAACGTGTTTCCGAAGCGGCTTGAAAGCTCAGAGCCACGCGCTTTGCGGGAAGCCATACTGAAGAGCCTAAGTGTCAGGTACAACACAAAGACCTCATCACGTTGCCATGATCCAGTGCAACAAAGGCGCAGCTGGGGAAATGCTCGATGACCCAACCCAGGAACCCCCGCAAGCCAATCTGTGCGAAATGTGCCCATGCAGCAGCAGCGAGCAAACACGAGAAAGTCCCTGCCACATGGTTGATCGATCCGATCCAGCAGAATCCCGCTCTTCTCGCAATTTTTAGTTCAGCTCTGCGCAAAAACGGTCCACCGTTGTAATACCTATCGCGTCGAACGGGGGAGCTAAACGAAGGTATGCTAAGAGTTGCTCCGTCGCGCCGCCGAGTGCATGGCCAACGCAGATGTACCGGAGCAAGTCCTCGCAGCTCTGCGGCTGCACGTTGGGCATGCCGGCGCTGCGTAAGCCTAACGGCCTAACGGCCGCCTGCGGGCACTGGTTACGACGGTGACCCGCGTGCTGGCGCAATACTTCGCTGCCGCTTTCCGCTTTGCGTGCCTCCCGTTCCAGTTTGGGTTATGCACGAGCGAAGGCACGGAGGGCCTCTGGCCCTCGCCCCCCTCCTCTCTTTGTGTTTCTCAAAACAAAATTTAATAATACATGTCGTGCACATAACCGAAAACAACCAAGAGTGCTCTCCGTTGACACGGAAATGCCATTCGCAGAAATACGAATGGTGCCATAGCCTTTGAAGTCTGTTTTCGTACCCGCTCACTACGTCATCGCGAAGCAACCCTCCGTCTGCGCATCACACATTGCAGGGCAGCTTTTTGTTCGCCTCATTTCTTGCGATCGTAAAAGCGTAGTTCCTATGTCACTTGCGAAAAACTGTGCCCATCTGTCTGGAGCGACCGGCAAGGGCAACCGCAGCCGCCGCCACAGAGCTATCAGCATGCGGTCGGGCGACAGCCTCGTTTGGGACGGCATGAAGCCAGCGGCAGCGTCCAGCCGGGACTGCGAACGCAGCACATTTGATATATATATATATATATATATATATATATATATATATATATCTTGGGCAAACGGTTGCGATACAGCTAACTTTTTCGGCATCCGCAAAACAAGACAGCCTTCTCAGAGTAAGGAGGAAGTATAAGAGGAAGTGACGGTCACGCGCGGCTTGGCTTCGGAGAGGCGCTCACCTGAGCGGAAGGCGACTTGGGCCGTCCGGCTCTGCAAGAGCGAGGACGTGGTCGAGGGCCGGCTCCTGCCCCACAGCGCTGAACCATGGCGCCGTGCCCCCCGACGGCGCGCTGCACGGCGATCGATAGTATGCCCCACCACGGTCGTGCCCAGGCGCTCAGCCGCAAGGCTGGTGGCGTGCGGAGGGCCCGGACGCGAACCAGCTGCCGGACGAGCTCTTGTGCATCCGCTTTCCGGCGGCCTCCGATCTTTAAAGCCAGGACGCAAAATCGTTGGGCTCCTCCGCGTCGCAGCTCTGGGTAGGAAGCATGTTTGCGATTTTCGGCGGGTGAAAGCGGCCTGCGGGTGGGGCACCCCACCTCCTCGGCGTTTTTCGCACAGGCTTAGATTTGCCCAAGATGTAGCCTTCATCCGAGGTCGGCAGGCCCTGGGGCAGTGAGGCCTTCCAGATACAGCACGGTGAGGCTACTGAGACTCCGTGAGATCTTTGTTGATACTTCGTATCTGGGCCCCTCGTGGAAGTCTTCGTTACCTGTCGCGCTGGTCGGGACCGGTGACCATTCGCGGTGGTTTAGCCTTATGCAAGACGAACTCTACAGTGTTTCGGTTTGGTTTGATTTCAGGGGTACTAAGCTGCCCGTGAGTTTTGGGGGTTGTTGCACCAGTCTTCACCCCGTCACGTCTCAAGCACTACCAATGCCCCCGGCTCAGGCCCGGCAAGTGAGGGTGAATAACCCCCATCCATTTACATGACCCTTAACATGGTTATCGTTTTATTTTACTCTTATCGTTTTACAGGACTTGGGGTCTGTGTGATCTACTTCATGCGCCATTTGCCACTCTTATCGTTTTACAGGCAATTGGACTGCGTATTCTAAAAATCTCGGTTATCGTTCTTTTTTACTCTTATCGTTTTACAAGGAAAAGGCAATGTTCTTGACTTAAAGACGCTTTCATCTAAACCCCGATAGCGGTTTTTTTTATCATCCCTCAGTTCCTCAGCTTTCGCTGACTTCCGATGAGGCCTGCAATCTCCTCCGTGGCCTCGTTCGTGCGCGGTTTCTGCGAGCTTGGCGGGCTGGCGGCGCTGCTGCACCATGGTCGGGGTTCTTTAGCTGCCAGCAGCAGAGCACATTCGCGTCCACTGGTTGCTGGCCGGCACTCGGTGCGCACCGGTACAGCCATGCACAGCTAGCTTGCGATGGGCAGCCGACACTGAACGAAGTTGTCGAGCTAGCTGAGCCTACACTACCTTCTATGCTGCCGCCGGGCGGCCCGTAGCTGCCATGCGTAGCGAGAGACTGGACGAGAAACGGTGGCCTGCTTTTTGGCCTCTTCCTTTCTGCTTACTTGCAATGCTTGTTTACCTGTGCGTGAGCGTGTGTTGACGGCCAACATCGTCGCGCTCGGCAGCCAGGTTGGCGGACGCTTCAATGGCGACACGCACGGCTTGCTTCGGGATCTCGCGACGATGGTGGAACATATTATCCGTCGCCGTGCAACACGCGGTCAGGAGCACTGCCCTCGGCAGGCCGTGGCCGCTACAACCGCATGCAGCCCGCGCAACAGGCCTGGCCAAGGCCAAGGACCCGAGCCGCCTGCTCCTGCGTCCAGCGCCGTAGCCGTAGGTGCGCGCCGGTAGGCCTAAACACAGGACCCACCGACCAGACACGAAGTGGGCAGGAAAAAGGTCGGATGGGAAAAAATATGAACGATCACCTAGGACTTGCGAGACTTGCATCGATACTGTTAGAGCTGTTAGAGGCTTGATCGTCCACGGCTACAGCATGACTATGACAAGAGATCGGGACCCTCTTATCATCAGCAGTTGATGTCACCCGCGTCAGATTGGAGAAGCTGCACCCCAAAAGCAGCAACAAGCACATGAATGCTGCATGCGCCGCAGCCTCGCGACACGCTGTGGGCAGCTGCGCTGCAGAAGGCACCGCGTGGCCGGACGATCCACGTTCGCCATCGGTCACCCTGAAGACCATACTGGAAAGTCCGCGAGTTGGAAAGGCCAGAGGCACGCGTTCTTCAAGCTTCGACAGCAATCTTGAGAAGTCACTCGAGCCAAACTCTTGAGGGGTGGGCGCTAGCCTGTCCAGCAACAGCTGCCGAAATACTTTCGCGCGGCAGGCTTGTGGACCAAAGCGGCAAAGCTTCACGTCAAAGCGCCGTTGCACTCAAGGATGGGTGACGAGCCGGGTGCTCAGCACGAACAGACCCTAGACAGTTTTTGCTACGCACGTTGTATTCACTACACAGAAGCACTTTCGCTGACATCCGTGCTTTCTTCCTATTTGAAGCGGAGTGACGCAAGGGGACGTTATCTGCCCTGTCTTGTTTTATGCTGGGCCTGAACACGCAATCAGGCCATGGAAAGCACGTCTGCAAAATCATTGCACCATTTTTTGGTGGCACAAATTTGACCTGTGCTCGTCGCTTTCTGACGAAGTATGCCAAATCATGGCATCAGCTTGTGGTCATGCTGTAGTCAATGAAGCTGAGCTAGTGTTGGTCGGCTTGTCGTTATATGTCGTTGATTGCAACGAAAACTCGCATCTTCACAACTGTCACTTCGCCAGAGATCTTTTCATGACATTGACGGCGGCCTGATGCCGGTTGCACCTGGTATCAACGCACCGCTATTTGTACGTTGCCGATTCGTTCGCACCCCCCCACTACCAACTCCAAAGGCCCACTCAGTCCTGATGTCGATCTTTGCCACAGCCTGCCACGAAGGTGTAGGGCTTACGCTCTAGGGTATTGCTTGGATTATTTGCGCTGGCGGTTCCTGCTTTTTGCGCACTCATGCAGGAGTCAAGCCACGAGGCCACGAGTCGGATATATCAACTCTAACTCTAATGCTTGAGAACCGACGCGGGTATCGTGACTTTGTGGTTGCCGGTGTCTGGTCCCGAATACCGCAGCTTGAAATTCTCGTGACCACCCACCTCGCACATGTCCACCACCAGGCGATGAAGACCTGGTCCCAGGAACTTATCATGGCTCGACCTCTCCTGTTCACCGTGGCAGCCGTTGTTGTCGACGATCCTCTCGCCGTTCAAGTACAAGAAGGAGCCGTCGTCCGACGCGGTGTAGAACTTGTAGTTGCCTGACTGCGTGGTGCTCACATAGCCGCTGCATCTGATGCAAAAGTTGTCGCCATGCCTCAGATGAGGGAATCTGCCGTGGTGCATGTCGATGTTCGGCAACACCGCGCTGTGAGCGGGTGTCATAGCTCCGAGGTTCGGGACGTGGCAGTGATGCTGGCTGTAGAAGTAGTCGCACTCCAAGCCATCCGATACCGCTTGGGCTGCAACCTCCAAGACCTCGTGCTTGAGAACCGATGCAGGTATCGTGACTTTGTGGTTACCGGTGTCGGGTCCCGAATACCGCACCTTGAAATTCTCGTGACCACCCACCTCGCACATGTCCACCACCAGGCTATGAAGACCTGGTCCAAGGAACTTATCATGGCTCGACCTCTCCTGTTCACCGTGGCAGCCGTTGTTGTCGACGATCCTCTCGCCGTTCAAGTACAAGAAGGAGCCGTCGTCCGACGCGGTGTAGAACTTGTAGTTGCCTGACTGCGTGGTGCTCACATAGCCGCTGCATCTGATGCAAAAGTTGTCGCCATGCCTCAGATGAGGGAATCTACCGTGGTGCATGTCGATGTTCGGCAACACCGCGCTGTGAGCGGGTGTCATAGCTCCGAGGTTCGTCGGGACGTGGCAGTGATGCTGGTTGTAGAAGTAGTCGCACTCCAAGCCATCCGACACCTGCATAGGCTCGTGCTTGAGAACCGACGCGGGTATCGTGACTTTGTGGTTGCCTGTGTCGGGTCCCGCATACCGCACCTTGAAATTCTCGTGACCACCCACCTCACACATGTCCACCACCAGGCGATGAAGACCTGGTCCCAGGAACTTATCATGGCTCGACCTCTCCTGTTCACCGTGGCAGCCGTTGTTGTCGACGATCCTCTCGCCGTTCAAGTACAAGAAGGAGCCGTCGTCCGACGCGGTGTAGAACTTGTAGTTGCCTGACTGCGTGGTGCTCACATAGCCGCTGCATCTGATACAAAAGTTGTCGCCATGCCTCAGATGAGGGAATCTGCCGTGGTGCATGTCGATGTTCTTCAGAACCGCGCTATGAGCGGGTGTCATAGCTCCGAGGTTTGTCGGGACGTGGCAGTGATGCTGGTTGTAGAAGTAGTCGCACTTCAAGCCTTCTCCCAAGCCCTTGCGGTGGTGTTTCAGAGCCGATGCGGGAATCACAGGCGCGTGGTGATTGGTATCTGGTCCCTCGTAATGCAGACGGAAGGATTCGCCACCACCTGCTTCGCACATCTCGAAAACCAGCTCTAGGGCACCCGCTGAAAAATACGTGGCAGCGCTGGTCCTCCACTGTTCGCCATGGCAGCCATTGTTATCGACGAGCAGCTGGCCGTTCACGTACAAGAGCGAGCCGTCATCCGAGCCGGTGTGGAACTTGTAGTTGCCAGCTTCCCTGATGCTCACGTACCCCTTGCACCGGAGACAGAAGTTGTCCGTTGCCCGAACATGGGGGAATCTGCCGTTGTGCATGTCGATATTCGGCAAGACTGCACTGTGCTCAGGGGTCAGAGACGCGAGGTCAGGTACCTGGCACTGAGCATGGCCGTAGAAGTAGTCGCACTCCAATCCAGGTGCAAGTTCGGAGTCAGGTGGTATCTGCACCAGAATGGTGGTGGTTATGGTGGTTGTGGTTGTACTGGTGACGGTAACAGTTGAAGTTGTGACAGTTGAAGTTGTTGTTGTGGTAGTCGTCGAGGTGCTCGTTGTCACGGTTGTTGTTGATGTGGTGGTCGTTGTCGATGTGCTCGTTGTCGAGGTGGTTGTTGACGTGGTGGTCGTTGTCGAGGTCGTCGTTGACGTGGTGGTCGTTGTCGAGGTGGTCGTTGTCGTGGTGCTTGTCGACGTCGTGGTTGTTGTTGTGGTGCTTGTCGACGTCGTGGTTGTTGTCGTGGTGGTCGTAGTTGACGTTGTGGTAGTGGTGGTTGTGTAGCAAGCAGCACCCATGGTCAGGCATCTTCCGTCCACCCAGGCGCACTGCATGTAACTATCACCATCTTTCACGAAGTAGCTTTCGCAATCCGGTTCCTGCAGATGCGAGCAGGAGCTGCCCTCCACGGGGCTTCCTTGGCACAACGCAGAGGGCTCTTGAGCCTGAACAGAACGCTGCCTGCCCGAACTGACCGGAGGTGAGTTGACGTCGAAGGACCAGCCTTCTTTGTCATCCTCTGCTTTGTTCTCCTTAGCCTTGTGCTGCGTCTCTAAGACATCCCCTCGCGAGAAGTCCTTCAGCGCGGCTATGGCCCGAGTTCGACTCTGCAGAGACACGAGCTCATCTGGCATCGCCATGAGGATTAAGGCAAACTGGTCCACGATGTTCACCAGGGGGATGACCTGCTCAGGGCTCTGATAGGGTCCAAAGCCCATCTGCAATCCAAGCTGAAGCCAGTTGCCCGATAAGAGGCCCTTGACTTCGAAATTCACAGTGCCGGAGTTCTTGAAGCTAAAGAGCTTGAAGGTCTCCTCTCTCTCCTCGCTGGCGCGGATCAACTCCTCGGCAGCCGTTCCCTGCGATTCCGACGTGGTGTTGACACCCAGGTCCTGGCCATACTCGACAGAGGCCACATAGAAATCCGCGTCTTCCGTCTTCCAGTACAGCGACTTCTCCTTCTCCCCACCCCGGATGCTGCGGTTGCCTTCCAGCAGAGAGGATCGCTTCATGGAGGCTATGGCGGTTCCACTCTCTGCATCTGCAGCCTCAGACACGGAGAAATAGGTCTGTGCCGTTTGGTGGCCTCCGTTGATGTTGGCCGAGTTGAAGTCGGTGTTTTCCCCGAAGCGCTTGGTCAGGCGTAGAGTCCGGCTGAAGAGGAGGATGCCATTGGACTTAATCTCGGATCGCAGGACGCTCAGGTCGAGGCCACCCGGCTGAGTCTTGGGCCAGCAGACTTGGGTATTCACTTCGGCCAGGGGCCCCGGTAGCAGATCGAACTGGATGCCGCCAACGAAAGCAACGACGGGCTGCATGTTCAGCTTGAAGCTCACAGTGACACACCTCTCAATCTGCATATCCGAGGTGTAAAAGGAATAGCCTTGCCACTTCTTCCAATTGTCCTTCATCCAGGTGTTTGTGCAGGGCACCGCCCAAGGCTCCAGCTTCACAAAGTCGTCCTTGCTTGCCGCCTGCCAGTCCTCTTGAGTCGCCTGGTTGTTGCTCCCGGTCTTATTCCTGGGCGCAAAGGCCAGGCAGGAACCCGTCGAAGTCTCCCTGCCATCGAACTGGGTGACCAACTCGCGGATTTCGGGTCCGTGGTCGTCAAGGCTCCAAGATACCGCGGCCGGAGGCTCTTCGTCGTCACCCAGCTCCTGCAAGAGAGCGGCGTTTCTGGGGGCCTTCTGCGAGTGCTTGCTGATGACGAAGTTGGGCGTGTGATGATGCACCACGGCCGGTGCACCAGCTTTTGGGAAGTCCGTGGAAAAGGCCTCCTGTAGCAGCGACGGGCCGCCCTTCATGGCTTGGGTGGCCACGGCCGAGGCTACCTTGGCAAAGGTCCCGACGAACTCGGCGAAGATGTCACCCAGGCGGTTCAAGAAGTTCAGGGGAGGAACGCTCGAGATGATCCTGAAGCCGAGGCACTGGATGAGCTCCTCTTGCGAGCTCGGGTTCTCACACTTCGCAAGCTCGTTGCCCATTGTGAGCATGGTCTTCACGGAACTGCCTTCCCCACCCGCCAGAAGCTGGACCGGCTGGGGCATGAGATCCAAGATACTGCCATGGGCGACTTTCTTCAACGGGTCGGGCAGGAAGTCCAGCGGAGGACTGAACTTCGCAAGTGAGGTGGCAAGGCACTTCGACACCGTGATGTGGTTGATATGGCTACGACAGGTGTGAGTCAACTCCCAGCCGAGGTGAAACAGAATTTTCAATTGATCAGGTAGAAGGTCCATGACTTTGCCATCAGCAATTTTCCTCACCTTATCCCCAAGAAGATCGAAGACTTTGCCATCAGCAACTGTCTTCAACTCGTTGGGCAGAAGATCCAAGACCTTGCCATCACCAACTTTCTTCAAGGGATCGGGTAGGAGATCGAAGACTTTGCCATCAGCAACTTTCTTCAACGGGTCGGGCAGGAAATCCACCGGCGATTGGAACCTCGCGAGTGAGCTGGCAAGGCACCTCAAGATCGTCTCGTGATTGTGATGGCCATGGCAATTGCCCGACAGCCACCAGCCCACATGATTGAGAACTCTCAGTTCATTGGGCAGGAGATCCCCTGGGTACTTCCTCAGGGATCTGGCAAGACATTTGGTCACCTCGATGTGGTTGTGATGGCCGTGGCAGCTGAGACCCAACTCCCAGCCCACGTGGTAAAGAATGTGCATTTGACGGGGCATCAGGTCCCAGGCTTTGCCATCGGCAACTTTCTTCACCATATCGGGAAAGAGATCCCCTGGATACTTCCTGAGTGATCTGGCAAGGCACTTGGTCACCTCGATGTGATTGTGAGTGCCGTGGCAGCTGCTTGTGAGCTCCCAGCCCACGTGGAAAAGCAACTGAAACTGCCTCGGCAAACCAATTCGGTGCTCGCCGAAGTCGAGTCCGAACCTCTTTTCTTCAATAACCGGGCCTAAAAAAAGCTCAAACTTTCTAAGACGGACGGAAGAGGTGATGCAAAAAAGTTTGAAGTTATGCCATTAGCTATCTAAGGAACAGGCCAGTCGATTGACCCATCAACTTGATCTCGCACTTGAGCTTCCCAAAATATATCTTGAGCTCATGAGAGTTGAAGGTTCGGATTCCCGGATGATGAGTTTCGCATCGGAACCCGAAATCGCTGAAGCCTTGGCTCAGAATCGCGATGGCCTTCAGCGGCACGGAGAGCTTTAGGTTGAGAGTAGAGCAAGGAATTCAGTCGGAGGCCCAGGATTTAGGGGTTTAGGGGTTTAGGCTCTAGGGGTTTAGATTTACGCTCTCGCAACTCGGACATGCCAGACGAGGTTCTTGGTGCTAAGAAGGGTTTCGGGATTCGAGGTTTTGACTGTTAGGGTTTCTGGTTTAGGCCTGAACATTTGGGGTGCCTCCTCCACGGTCGAGATCGTGTTGTCCCTCAACCATGCGGCCTCGGGGCGCTGCTGCACAGCACTGCACCAGACAGTCAACAGCAGCTCAGAAGACTTTGGCAGAAGTGTGTGGAGAGATCCGACCCTGCCTTGTCGCGGGCGTTTTTGTATCCATCCACCAAGACGTCAGTTGCTGACCCGACCCAATCCCCGACAAATCCCCACCTGCTTCGGTGATTCAACGAAGCCTCAGCTAGCTGAAAACACGAGGGAAAGGGACGGAGCACAGCAAAGCCAACACTCGGACAGCTGGCAACAGAAGCAAAAACAGCCAGTGAGACCAGTCGCAGAGTCGCGATCGGATGACGACTCTCGCGACGTTCCACTTTCGGCTGCGGAAGCAGTCTCCCGTTCGCGATGAAGGATGCCTGAGTTGTCGCAAAGAGAGTCACCCCTCCAACCCTTCAGGTTTCCAGCCAAGCCACCTTTCTCTCGCTGACGATGGTGTTTGAGAAACACGCTCTTGACGATTTCCTGGGCTTCCTTCAGCCGCGTTTGTGCATCTTCTTCCTCGGTTTCGAGCAGGGCCTCACCCTCTGGGACCTTGTGGTTGCCGATTTGGGCCTTGAGAGAATCGATCTCCTTTTGCTGCAAGTCGATCTTCTTTTGCTGCCTATTGGCCTGGGCCTGCTGCATCTCAGCAACCGCCTCGAGCTGCGCGACCTTCACGAGAAGGAACTCCAAGTTCTTGGCCAAACCAAGTCCCTCCATAGAGTCGCTCGCATTCTCCATCGTCGGGTCTGAGATGTTGTTGATGTCCTCCATGTCCCGTTCCAAGCGGTCAGAAACGGCTTCCTCCACAGCCTGCCTGATGGTCGCGTTCTCCTCGGAGCCTGCCAAAGGGATCGGAGCCTCCGACAGCTTGAAGGACAAGCCTTGCTGGCCGCACGTTAAAACCAAGATCGCAAGGGCTCTACATGAGCCCAGGGCTCTCAACGAGCCAAGCTTCGTTGATGTGAGCATCCGAACAAATCTCGGAAGCTCGACCGGGATTGCTACATAACACAGTAAAACGGCTGCGTGCGTGTATCAAAGCAGTAGGTCGAGCGTGCAAGCAGGACAGACTTTCGAAACCCTTCATGCAACAACCCCAAAGCCCTTACCGTCACCCTGCAGCCATGAAAGCCCGCTGCCGCATGACAATCGCACCCGTCCTAAGAGCTAGCTCCGTGTGAAAGGCCTGCAGCGCAAAGCTCGGATGCTCGACATCATTCATAGAGAGGCTCCGCATGATGGGACCTTAAGGCCAACCTACAAGCATCTCTCAATGTTCCAACTATAGTACCGCAGCCGAAGGGATGGCGAAGGATCTGCAATGCGGGGACATTGTCTCGACATCGTCAACAATTGCTTCACATGAATAAATGTACAAGGAGGCACTTTCGATGGAGCCACCCAGCAGAAACGGGCTACTAGCACCGGCAGCTATGAATGCTGTGAGCCGAAAAAAATTGCAACACATCGCATGTTGAGGAATGATACGTATCAATTGATTCTTTCATCTCCTGACCGTTGACTGTCACTATCTACTCAACATGGTTCCTGCATCTCTGTCTCCGTGCCGGGTCCACACAGCCCTTTGTTTACACCACAGCATGTCGTGGCATGTGTTCCGAGCCCTGTAACAGTGAAATCCCACATGGTGACATGGTCTTGCTGCCCGACCTCTTTCGACGACACAGAGCTGGCACCAACTCTTGATTGCAGCGCAAAGACTCATCTCAAAGCGCGCATCTTCAAGCCTACGTTTGTGCGTCTTGGAGCCTGCTAAGCTCTTGCACAAGGCTACAAACGACCTGGTGTGCACCAACAAGTGCAACAAGCAAACCCAAGCGGTAGACACTAAAAATGCGGCGGCTGTTCTGCTAGAGACTTATGGAAAAATCCACCAAAGAAGGATCCAACCTAACACAACATAAGCTGGCCATCATCCAACGAATAGTAGGACGGAGGAATGATGGCGTTTCCCTGCTTTGGGAATTCGTGGACTGGCTCAGAACTTGCACTGTTGCATTCCAGGCCCTTATAATTTTCGAGCTGTGACAGCAAAAGACCTCAGGGAAACTGGTGATTCAGGTGTGAGGAAAGCTCGTCCAGTTCTTGAACGTGTCCATGCACAACAAATAGGCAACAGTGCAAGAATAGTGGTGATCCCCTCATCCTGCAGCTAGGACTTCGTTCTTGAAAATGCCCTGCGTGGGTCGCAGAGCTGAGCTCAAGCTCGAAGGATACTGCATCTGGACCGGTGCCCTTGAGGCTGTGCGCCGAGTGCCTTCAAAAGATTTGCGGACGGTGGGTCTTTAGGTCCAGCTGCAGACGGCCCAGGCAGGCTCTATGTGCATCGCCAGAACCACGGCTAAACTTCGTCTAGCAGTCAGTGTGTCAGGAGGTTAAACCCGTATGCAAGGTCGTTCTGAAATTAGTCCATACGATTTGTGTCCGTGATCAACAGGGACCCAGGCAACACTGCGCCACTGCGAACAGGCGGTCCTACTTTCATTGCGGCAATGAGCCCGGCTCAGCTCGAAAGCCGTTTGCCTCGAGCGTCTTGCCATTCGGCACCTTTCAAAGTGCCAGGAAGCATTGCCCCGGCCCCAGAAGTTCTGGGGACTCAACGTTTGTATATGCACTCCGTTCTGACGAGACTCTGAGCACGAAACCAGGGAGCCGTCGTTCTCGGATTTTGGCTCGCCAACAACAATGTTAACTTTCCTCACCATGCGCAACTAGCCAGCATACCTACATAAACAGCAAAGGAGCACAGCGGCACTTCTCCAATGCGACAATGAAAGTAGCCACATCTCTCAAGCTAGCACCAAGATGCAATTTGGGGAAAAGTCGTTCGACTTGGCCTAGGCAGACATCGCATATTGCTCTCAACAAATGGCTTTTACTGACAAAACTCACCGGTGTGCGAACTTGGATGACTTCCGCTGCTGCAAGCACATCATGGTTGGTGCCGTGCAGGGAGGGAACTGCACTAATAAGTGGGGGGGGGCAGAGACGAAGGGAGTGAGCGGCAGCACAAAGGAGGGGCGAGCAGAAATCGATCGACCAAGGCCCAAAGGGCAAAGGAACAAAGAAACTGGTGCAGGTTGATAGGGTGTCGTTTGATGCCATCGACACACACAAACACACACACAAACACACACAGACATGACGTATGTATGTATGTATGCATGTATGCATGTACGCATGTGTGCGTGCACAAGGAATGTAAAGAAACATATATATATATATATATACACACACATGAATATATATACATATATATATACTACATATATGTATATATATATATATACATGTATTATATATAATATATATATATATATATATATAAACGTATAGTATATACATATATATATACATATGTACACATCTGTATACATCTATATATATATATATACATATACATACATACATACATACACATATGTATACATATAAATATAAATATAAATATAAATATAAATATGAATATAAATATGAATATAAATATAAATATGCATATACATACACATATACACATAAATATTCATATACATATATATACATATACATATATACACAGAAATATACATATACATCTATATATATATATATATACCTATATATATATGTATATATATAGACATACATAAACCTACATAAACATATACATATATACATATATACATATATACATATATACATATATACATATATACATATATACATATATACATATATACATACATACATATATACATATATGCATATATACATATATACATATATACATATATACATATATACATATATACATATATACATATATACATATATACATATATACATATATACATATATACATATATACAAAAATACATATATATATATATACATATACATATATACATATATACAAAAATACATATATATATATATACATACATACATACATATATATATATATACATATACAAGCATACATTTATACAAATATGTATATATATATATACATATATATATATATATATACATATGGTACCCCCCAAAAAAAAACACGCTTCGCTGTCAGGTACTCTCGACTTGCCCAACTTCATCGGATGCAGCTGCAATACGTTCAGGGTCTTTCAGGGCTTCTCAATTTGAGGGATTCGCGACGCGACGTGTAAGTATCTGATGCTCAAAGGGCCTCGCTGTGACGGATACTTCAGCGGATTCGCAGATTCGCAGATTCGCATATTCGCAGATTCGCGGATTCGCGGATTCACAGATTCGCAGATTCGCAGATTCGCGGATTCGCAGATTCGCAGATTCGCGGATTCGCAGATTCGCAGAGTCGCGGATTCGCAGATTGCCAAATCGCCGAGGCTATACAATCTGCGAATCTGCGAATCTAAGACTTTGCAAATCTGCGAATCTGCAAATCTGCGAATTTGCGAATCTGAAAACCTGCGACTTTGTGCCAACCTGTGAAACATCATGACATCCAGATTTCGTTTCTTTCTCAAGCACAGAGGCTAATACATGTGCGCATAAAGGAATCTGGTAGTGCCAAGGCAGGAAAAATTTGTTGTTCCGGTGTGTGTAAAGACCCTGCTTGCTTCTTTTCAACATAAATCCGAATCACGGCATCATTCAAAAAGATAACCTATGTGAAAGCTTTTTGTGGCTTCTTCATGCCTGTGGTTAATCAGATTACATACTTGAAATACTAAGTAAACATCCCATTCTATAGTGTTCTGCTTATATCTTCATTTTCATTTGTCACGTGCCAGACTAGTTGTCTTTTGGCCATTCATCAGTCCAACTCATGTATAGGAATCCATTATCATTGCCAAAATGAAGCCTCTACTCTGCATGCGGGCGTATCTAAATGCATGTCGGTTAAATTTTCTGCTTATATCAAGATAAGGAGCTATCCATTTCAAACGGTTTACGCACATATTTAGTCTACTTGCTGCCAAGTCGAGTAATTGTTTTTCACCTGTTGCATTCTGACAGCCCTATGCCAGAGGCAAGCAATTGAAAACATATGGGTTGGTGAATGGATGCACTTGTCCCGTGATTGAAACATGACCAGACCATGGTAATGTAGATAATTAGCTAATTCCAGGTGCTTACACAGTGTATGTCACAGTATTATGTATACACAAAAACGTTGATTTAACCAGTCACCTAATCAACTTACTGGCAATATTTGTGAGTGGTATATCCGTGCTTTCTTAATTTAGTTTATGATGGAAGTTATGACAGTAAACTGAACGAGTGGTTTGGCCCCTGCTTGAACTAACCCATGTAGCACGCCAGCGATTTTGCGAGTATTATCACGGATACATTGAATACTACGAGCCAGGACGAGGGACTGGTGATATCAGTGGCCAGCAGGGAAATCTACTACGGATTACTAGTACTCATACCACCACTCAAGCTAAACGAAATGCTCTGAGCATTGGCAACGATGGTAATATCTGACGCCAATACTCGTAATAATGTGGGAGCAGGTAATGCTAGGAGCTAGAGGATTACGGGCAGCCTTGGTTTCGAGAATGTAGTGTTGCGGTGATTTGCAGGCCACAGACATGTAGAATTTCAGGGTTCGTGGCTGCAAAACAGGCCGAACCCAAATCCCGCTTAATGTTCTGCACATCGGGCCCAATACTAATTTCAGTTCTCAGGGGTGATTTCCTACAACGGGCAAGGATTCAGCCGATGTAGGGAAATTAGCTAGTCAATGGTTCTAGAAGACAGCAGGCTTCTCATCCAAATCATGTCATATTGAGAGGGAAAAAATCATGTCATGTTGTGCAATGAGTCAGTTACTCAACAGCTAGGTTCGTTTAAGGGGACCTGGAACCTACACCCAAGGCTTCGGGACTAGGGCTTAGGGCTTAGGGTTCAGGGTTTAAGGTCTAGGGTCTCTAGGGCTTAGGGCTTACGATGGAAATTGAGATTTGTCTGTCTGTGTGCCATTTAGAAACATTCCTTTTCCTTTTCGATGTTTTCTCCGGAGTTTGTTTGGTTATCTGTTCCTGTTTGGCTGGCTCATACAAACAATGATTGAGGAAATACGTTTTGCGGAACTATTGTCTAAAATTTCATAAGAATATTTACATTTCTTGCGGATAGCACATGCAGGCATGCTGGAGTGAATTATCAGGATCTTTTACTAGTTCTTGCGGGTCTTGGGGGGGTAGCATACATATATATATATATATATATATATATATACATATATATATATATATATACATGTATGTATATACAGATATACATGTATACATATATACATATATACATCTTTCTTTCATACGCTGCAGAAAGAATCCACTTAGCGATGCTGTTATGACAGGGAGCCACCCCGGCTGCTGTGAGCCATGTGTGTTTACACATGTCAGCGAGACGTGCTTGCAATCATAGGCAGAAACCACGGCGAGTGTGGATTTGCTGTGGGACCTGCCACGAATGGCCCGTGTGTCCCAACAGAGCTCATGGTTGCATGATGCGGCAGTATATGTGGAGGTAACCAGCGGCCAGTACATCAGACGGAAGCTGAGCGGACACAGTAGGCGATTTTCCATCCAGAAGGATTGCTCCGTGTCAGACGGGCAAGAGCAAAGAATGGCCCGGTAATGACCAGAGGTGGCCGTTTCACCTTCATGCGAAATGATGGCAACTGGTTTGTACTCGCTGGTTCGAGTATGCAAGGTGGAAGCATCAGAGGAAGGACCCATCCGCTGCTTGATCCTTCGGCATGTATGAGTCTTTGGATGGTGAGCTGGCCATCAAGGAAACGGCTGATCTGAGGAAGCGGCGTCGCCAGCATCCCCACAGTCGCGTAGCTGGCAATGGACCGGATCTTCATCTTGGACCAGCAAGCGATTTTGCCACCTGCCCGTGAGCAGATCCGGAATGATGAACTTGCGACAGAAGGTAAGATATTCGGCCGCATCATGCTGGACATGCGGCTGGGACCAGCAACCGTGCAACAGCGATCATTGCAGGACAGTCCAGAGGTCTGGCGTTGGCGCCTGTTGAGTTATTCGCTGCACGACTGACTGCATGGCCGAAGTCCAAATCACCTGGTTCCAGAGGCTGGAGGAAAGCATAATGGGCGGCTCGCCCAGTGGAGGCAGCACATCACAGAATGACAGATGATGAGGCTGCTGAGCGCATGACCCCTTGGCCACCTCGTTGGCTAGTGCCGATCGGCCCATGCGCTCCGGACGAAGCGAGCCGCCCACAAGCTGCCACACGGCAGAGTTCGCCAGAGCCCTGAGATTACTGGTTTTGCCCAGCGGCCTCCTGAGTTCGATGCCCGACCTGGAGAAGAAACGGAACCGTGGGTCCTTGGAGCGGGCCCTGAAGCTGCTGAGTGGAGTGAAAGCGCATGATCGCAAGCGGGCACAGACGCTGTTTCTGCAGAAGCTGGACCCTTTCGATCATCGCTGGAACCTGGATGCCTCCTGGTCCTGTCGCGGGGACAGGGTTTTGGTCTCCGGATTGTAGACCAGGAAGGGGATCAGCAACTCGGCGTTGTCCTCGTGGGGGAGAAAACCTGCAGGGTCGTGGCCGTCTGCAGCAGTCCGGTGTTCTTCGCAGTATCCTTGATGCGCTTGATGAAGGTCTCGAGCATGGTATGGAAGAGGAAGGTCCGGAGGGGAAGAGCGATCTCGTTTATCTTCTCCTGTTTTTGTTCCTACAGGGCGTTCCAATGCTGGGCTTTCTGCACGAAGAGGAGGACTAGAGAGAGCGCGCTCTCCCTTTTGAAGAACATGACGAATCCGTGCTGGGTTCTGTCGATTCCCATTTGATCTTCGTGTCGCAGAGGAAGCTTCCCCAGCATCCACACCATAGCCTCTGTGTCTTTGCCCACTGGTCCTGTGGGCGACGATGAGGCGGGCATCGTAGCTGACTCTCACCGTCAGTCCCCTTGTTGGGCTGACCTCCCGGGTTCTGGTTCCCTTTGCCCTGTCCGCCTCTGCCGAAGCCACCCTTCGATTCCGGCCTGGCCCACTTCGCGTCTCGCTCCTTCTCCGGCTCTTCAGTGTCCTCCTGTTCGTTCTGTCGTTTGCTCGTGAAATCGAGGTCCATGGGTTCTCCCCAGCACTGAAGAAGAAGCAGCTCGGCCTGTGCTTCCTTGGTCTGGGCCACCTGCAGGGAGAGCCCGCTGCCCAGAGACTGAGGGGAGGCCAAGCTCATGGCGGATGAGGATTCGAAGTGTGATCACTTGTTGAAGAACAGGGCAGGCAGCAACGTGTTGGGTCTTGTAGGAGACCGTCTGCCTACACCAGCTGCAGGGGGAACGCGCAGCCGCAGTCCGAGCTGTGAGCCAATCGGCGCGCATGGAGGTCTGAAGAGCAGTAAGCGGATGCTGCTTATTGAGATGCAGGAGAATGTCCGGCGTGCGAGTGAACCATTGATGGCAAACAGGGCAGTGCTGCAGCCCTGAACGAGAGTGAAGGGCTCGAAGGTGATGCGCCAGTGGTTGCCAGGCGTCCTGAGCAGCCAAGTCACGTATCTCGGGTCGAAGCATGAGAGGCATAGAGTCAGACAGAGCAGCTGACTGGGGAGGGGGATCAGGAAGGGCAGACGCAGGGGGCAGGGCAACCTGAGCAGTGGTGGTTGCAGCGGCGGGCGCAGCAGGACTCTTAACAAGCTCTACAGTGTGGGCTGGGGACGGGCACGAATTGGTGTAGTGATGGTTCAGAAAATGCGGCCATGCTGCAAACTGCCTGTCACACATATATACATACATACATATATATATATATATATATATATCTACATATGTACATATAAACATATATACATATACACATATACACATATACACACATATACATATATACATATATACATATATACATATATACATATATACATATATGGTTGCGCCCCGGCGGGCCCCCCCCCTCCCCCCCCCCTCCCCCCTCCCCCCCTCCCCCCCCTACGGTATCCTGTTATAGGTACTCTGATATATTTTCATAAGTAATCGACGTGTATTCTCCCCGCCCCCCCCCTGTGGAACGGCATGGTTTGCCTTGTCTATCCCCCCCCCCTGTGGAACAGGATGGTTTGCCCTATTTTCCAAGCCCCCCCCCCTGTGGAACAGGATAGTTTTCCCTTTTGCTCTGAGACACACACACACACACGCACCATGTCTTTCTGAATGTATGGCCATTCTATCTCCCCCCCCTCCTGTGGAACAGGATGGTTTTCCCTTTTTGTTCTGAGACACATACACACACACACACACACACACACACACACACACACACCGCGTGTCTGTGTATGTATATGGCATTCTCCGCACATGCTCTCCTGTAATGTTACGAAGTATTGCCTGGAACCCTTTTCTAAGGAATTTTACATAGCCTTGCTTGGAAATTATGGCACACGAGTAATCTTGCTGAGTGCTGCCTAGAACATGTTGCTTAGTGCTCACAGGAAGCCCTGCTTGGAGGCCTTCGGCGTAGGAATAATGTTACTCTGTTTTGCCTCGAAACCCTATCCTTACTGTGGAAATTACGCGGGTGCGTAGCGGGCGGGCCAAGCGGGGTACAATGCGCTGTGCGGCGCGCCTGTAGCGGGAGTCCTCCAAGCCTCCAGGGTTCAGGCTCCTGTATATTTGGGGGGGATACCATGGGGGGGGGGGGGGGGGGGGGGGGGGGGGGGGGGAGGGGGGGGGGGAGGGGGGGGGGGGGGGGGAGGGGGGGGGGGGGGGGGGGGGAGGGGGGGGGGGGGGGGGGAGGGGGGGGGGGGCCGAGAACGCACAGCGCACAACCATATATACATATATACATATATACATATATACATAAATGTATAAATACATATATACATATATACAAATCTACAAATATACAAATATACATAGTTACGTATATGCGTATATGCGTAAATGCATATATGCATACATGCATATATGCGTAAATGTATATATGGATAGATGCATATATGCATATTTGCATATATGCATATTTGCATATATATATATATATATATATATATATATATGTATATATATACATATATGCATATATACATACATACATATGTAAATGTATACATATATACATAGATACGTAAATGCGTACATGCGTATATGCATATATGCATATATGCATATATGCATATATGCATATTGCATATAAACATATATGCATATATATATATACACATATACATATATACTTGTATAAATATACATATAAACATATATACATTTTTTGTCACTCGTGCTCGACAAGTCAAACATATATACATACATACATATACACCTTCTTACGTATATGCATATGTGCATATATGCATTCGTACACATTTACATATATACATATATACATATATACATATATACATATATACATATATACGTATATGCATATATACTTTTATACATATATACATGTATACTACATATATATACATAAACAGTTTCTGAGTACGTGGATGTGCTTCTATTTGAGTGCGGAGGTCTTACGGCCTTCATGCTGTTGTTAAGTTTGATGTCCCGATATTACTTCGATGAAATTGTTTTGACATCCTGGGTATGTTAACTGTGTAGGGGTGGCCTCAGCCGATACTTGAGGAAGATCCTGCACGTTGGAAGTCCGAATCCGATTCCAAACTCCATCCGGATTGCAGTTTGACTGGTGATTTAAGAGCCGACAAGGGACTGCAGAGAGCATCCTTTGTGACAGGGGGAAATCTCTTGCTAGTTGACCTGATCCTTCTCATGACAACCTGAGTGGCCACCAGATTTGGCAACTTTCTGATGGTTGCGGCGTGCCTCAGTTTGATTTTGTTGCAGGGTTGGGACGGTTTTTCCCGTCTGCCGGTTACATCCCACCCCTGTCTGGTGAGTGCATACTATGTCCATGAATTTCTGCGCCACCTCCCGCATTTAATTAGTTGCATCCCATAGGGGCCGCGTCGACATGACTCCTCGCCCGAAAAGCGTGATATATGTATGTATGTATGTATGTTTGTATGTAGATATACATTTGCATGTATACACACATTACACATGTATACATATATGTACACACATTTCTATTTAATCAATCTAGTCACTAACATTGTTCTTCTGAGTCGCAGTATACTTTACATATGTATATATGCTCACCCCTCGAAGAACGACCGCGAGGTGCCGCGATACCGCCACCACTCCTCCTACGTTTGGGCTTCTGGTGTATGACGAGCTTGGTTTTGAGGTCCCGATGGGAGAGCATATGTCTATCGGCAAGCGCCTTCATTCTCAATTGCCTACGACCCTTCCCGCCAACTCGGAAATATGATTTCTCCAAGGATGACAAATCATGCCTGTCTGAATACAGGGATCAATTATAGGCTCGATTGACGAGGATCGTTCTCTGACTCCTGATCCCAAACAACATGAAACCCTCAAGTCAATGGAGACCGTAACATTCGCGCGACATCTGACCCCGGTGTTTCTCTTATCTAATTTACGAGCTTTGTCAGCTTAGAGGAAATCTTAATGGTAGCTGTAATAACTCTGATATCCTGGGTCCTGTTCTGTGTTAAACCTGCAGCACTAGCTCTCTATTGACCCCAAACTGATCTGGATAATATCCTGGTTATTATGCCGTTTTATTGTATAGTATTAATGCTAGACGGAATCGAATCCCAATAGTCATCACACTAGAACCTAATTTGTACCGCGCACAAACAACAAATGAAGTACACACTCTTTGCTAGGAAAAGCTTGGTCTTGGAGTGAAATACCAACTTTTCCACAGGCTTGTACCAAACAAGCAAAACCTTTTTGCCAGGAGAAGATTGGCTTCGACCGGAAAACTGATTTTTTCATAGGCAAACCAAAACCAAAAAAAACAACAATACTGCAAAAGTCCAACTAGACTGTTTTTTTGCGTATTCGCTAGGAAAAAAGCTGGTTTGGGACCGAAAACTGGCTTTTTGCCGCAAAAAGATGGCTTTTGGCCCTGGAAACCTGCCATGACCTACCCGTGCACCTGCCATCTCAAACTTCAAGGCCTAGCTGCCCACCGCCTCAGCGCAACTTCGGCAAAGCGGTTTCCTGGCGCAGCGTCAACTGGATCCACTGCTCGATTGAGGCATTATGGGCCAGGATTCCTGATCCCAAATAATTGGTGCGAGGCCATTTCAGGACAAACCAGTTTGTCTGCCCTGGCTTCTTGCTGCCGCAAGTACACTCTGACTGCATTGTGCGGCAAGCCAAGCCACCAAAGAATCAACAAGGAAAAGAAGGCATGCTTCGGAGCCGACGAAAAAGGTCCCTCTGCTCATACGTGTTATCGGCAATTGCCAAGCGTCTTCGACCACAGCGTCGCTCGGGCACGCCAGGTCGAGCGCCTGACAGAGACGTAAGGCTGAGCCTCAGTGAGATCTCGACCTCTTCCGGTCAGCTGCACCTCTCCGCTGGCACCATTCCGCCTTGGGTGGAAGAGTTGGGTCTGGCGATCGCAAAGGGTTCTGAGAGCTGGTGCACGCTTTGCTGATCAGAATGCCACGGCCACACATTTCAAGGCCTGGCACCCTGCGGACCCTGCGACAACTCCCTCGCGATCGCGTTGCGCACGCAAACCCCGGAATGAATGACATATCTCGTGCACATGCACAGTCAAGTCACAGAGACCAGTCAGAAGCTTGAACTCCTCATCAGATGCTGCTGCAGCGCAGCCATGCATCACACCCAAATGCTGCATTTGTGGTTTACCAATGCTTTGGCCAGGCAACTGCATCATGGCGGCGATCGAAAACGCGACCATTTTCGTCCTTGGGATCTGAATCTCGAAACACCAGACATGAGACAGCGAAAAAGGGACTTCGAGATAGAACCGTAGCTGGGACAAGTCCAGGATCAGCAGCTTCAATCGACTGAAGAGGCCCATTGTCAGGAGCCAGCGGCGCGCCTGGAGTTTTGTACTCACCTGAGTCGCAATGAACAGAGCACACAACTCCCGAGCGGATACTGGTACTCTCACAGTCCAAGAGGTCAGAGCAAAACAAGGGACACCAAAGATGCATCTCAGCAGCCGCTCACCGCAAAGTCATTATAGACACCTTCGTGGCTGCGCGGATCCCGTGACACAACCCGTCAAAGGCTGCACATGCAGTGGTGCTTGTACTTCAACGCTAATGGCGGTGCTGGTCACAGTCGAGCATAGTCGAGTAGAGTCGAATCTGTCACGCACACCCTGTCATCATGTATTATTTGAAGATGTCGAGATTACCAGGCAGGGCGCTTTTTCCGTCACCGTCCGAGACGGACAGTATTGCAACGTTTCGCTTCAAGCGAGTGAACCAATTCGGGCCGGAGAAGTGTTCTCCGAAGCAATAAAGGCTTGCATCCTCAGCTGCTGCATTCCAGCCTGCTTCACCGAGATCCGGTTTGCACTCTCAGTGCGTAGGATGTACGTCTACAGGATCACACCCTCAACCCCAACCCAACTCAATCAACACCGCCGCCACACGTGCACTCCGAAAGCTGTCATGTGACACTAAACTTACTAAGCCATGCCATCGAGATGACACTGGCAGCTTGCATGTGAAGCGACCGAGAAGAAGTAAAAGTCCAGTATTCGTAGATACCCTGCCAGGGTGTTGGAAGCTCTGCCGTACCGTGCTCGTCATCTTACAGAAAGAGCTCAACCCACTCGCCTTGATGTGAGGCCTCAGTGGGGCAACGCTTGCCATCTGCTGCATTGAACATTGCCTACAAAATAATGCACGAGAGCCGCACAGTCGATAATCAAATCTTCATAAACTCACGCACCAATCAGCAGAAGCACGGAACATGCAAGTCACACTTGCATTTGTTTCATAGCGACCCCACGTCTCTTGCTAGCCTCCTCAAGACAGACAAACAGACGGACGGACGAATACACAGAGGAATAGACAAATAGACAGACAGACAGACACACACACACATTGGGCATATTCACATGTTCATTCGAATCTGCTTTGATTCCAAGTGGCCGGTATGTTCATCAACTCGGAGGGGTCTATCTTTCGAGCGGGAAGTATTCGTCTGCAAACTGTAACGAGTAGCATCGCCAACGCCGAGTTCTTTGTCAAACCTTAGCTCGACATGTCAGACCAGGCACATGGCCAAAAGTACTCAACACTATCTACAAAACGATATTTTCACTCGTGACGATTCGGCATGCCATGTGCAAACCAATCTGACACGGGGCTTCGCCGCTCGCAGTCCAAACGTCTCGTAAGAGCCTTCAAGTCGTTCAATGAGCGGCCGTAGGCTCGAACTGCGGACATGTCCTCCGGGCATGGACTCGAGCTGCTGGAAAATGAAAGAAAGGAATATTCAGTACGTCACATTCCACACCGCTACAAGTTTCGGCGCTTCCCATCCTCTTTGTCCTTAGCTGGCCAACTAAACCGCATGACAGCATACGAGGGCTGAGGGATCAAAAAATAGTCCAATACTGATCCCAAAAACAAAACGTCTGGGACCAAAGACAAATCAAACAAAATACAGGGATCAAGATCACATAGTGTCATATCTCCTCGGCGGTATACTTAAGACTACCACTTCTCGGATCAAAACAAAAATCAAACAGGGATGAGAGAGAATTGGGGCGTCTTAGCTTCTTGGTGCTGGCGTGAGAGACACGGTGCCAGGCAGAGGATGCAGAGGGTGGCTGGGTCGCAGTAGTACTATCCGTATACGAGTAATCCAGAGCAACAGCAATAATTACAGCAAAAGGTAAACGTAACAGTGGGAACACAAAATAGCAGTGATCGAAATGAGCTCGCGGGCTGCAAATACTGTAGTTTGACGCCTTCCAGAGTGTTGACATTGTTTGATACCTATATTTGATTTCCTTCTAATCCCGACTTGATTTTGTTGCCTTATTTGGTTGCCTTTAATGCCTGTCCCGCGTACCAGCACTGCGCTGGGATCGCACATGGTTCACCTACACTGAAATACACGTTTCCACGGAGACTCAACAATACATGTGTCTGTCGAGATCCTACTGGTTTCAAACTTGGACACCCATCAGATTCTGTTGCTGATAAACGCCAAGAAAAAGTGCGTTCTTTGGCCGATGCCTGCGAGATTGAAAGAGAGATCGAAGCCCTCTTGACTAATGAAATGGAAGCCAACCACAAAGGCTTGAAAGGCAAGAAATGGAAACGGGCAACGGCAGGTCGACATGGATGACGAAATGCTGGCACGTCGTCGGCAACAGAAACGACCGTGCCTCGGGACACTGTCTGGACACGCACCGCGAAAAAGCGAACTCCTACGACGGCAAGAAACCCATTGCTTCTTTAAGCATTGGAGCAAGAAATGTATTGGAAATCGTGCACCAGGGTTTGGCACATTCCGCGCAGGATAAGAAAGATCATGTCAGCGCTCTTTACTGGCAGTTCCCCGGCAACGCCATCGTCATGACGGGCGACTTTCAAGGGCGAGTTTGGCGGAAAAGCGGCAGCGGAAACTTGCCCAACGAAGAGCAAGAGGCGATTCGCGAATTCCGACGGAAGCGGCTGGTCCCGCGGAAGTCACACCTTTGCCTTCGCGGGAAACATTTCTATGGGGGTCCCGTAGCATCGAGCGCCGAGGCTGGAACTCCGAGTGCCTCGAACGAGTCGGACCCCAACGAAATGGCCGGCGACGAGGAGAGTCATGAACCGGTGGTATCACAAATCTCTCTGTTCCTTCCTTCCTTCCGCCGGGGCAGAGCTCTCGCTCGCTCGCTCTTGAGTTCTGCAGTGCTAAAGGCGAGGTTTCCATCCCTCTGCGCATGCGCGCACCCGTTTTGGAGTGGTACAGACCTCGGGACACGAAAAGACACCGTCTATGCTTGTCAGGCGAAGATGAAGAGCAGTAAACACCTGACAATCACCCGTACAAACACATTCCAAGCAGGTCCCCGCACATCGTCTTCCTCGTCTCCGGGCCATCTGCTATCGGCACACAAGACTCACATCAGGAAAACACCGCCCCTCCCTTGAAAAGTCTCAGATCAAGCTCTCTCTGTCTCTCTTGCTTCGACGTTCGCAAAAACACATGCCATTGCCAGAAAGCTCGCTGTAGCCAAGCCACCTTGGTTGCTAAGAGTTCCACGTGCACCGCATCCTGTGCTTTCTTGAGCTCATCCAGCACGCTGTCCATCTCGGAGATGAGCTCCTTCGAATATGCCGAAAATATAGTCAGGGCCTCGCCTGTACTCCTACATCAGAGGCAGCAGCCTTCTTGTCATCTGGTGTGGTGGTCGTCGAAAGCTCAAGCAGCTCTCGATGATTTTGCATGAGAATTTCTTGCAACCGATGCCGTTCCTGCCCCACCTTGGCTTCGCTGCTTTCGGCGATATGGATTCGTATAAGCGTCCGTGCTTTACAGTCAGTGACCACCCCTGAAAAGTAGCTCCCTTCAACATCTGCCGGGCGACAGAGTCTGCAACCTGCCATTGCAAGCTGTTTTGTGCAGCCCATGTGGTCTTCGATAAGCAACTTTCTAATCTGAACAGACTTGACATCCAGCCTGTGCAGCTTCTGCTTCTGCATCGCGCGCACCTGTAGCTGCAGGGTGACAATCCCAAACAAGTCCACGCGAGTTGGACAAATTCCGGGCTGCGCGCCAACACTGGCAAGCTTCCGCAGTGTCTTCCGGTCCTCGCTCCCGAGACCTCTATCAAGGATATCCTGCATAAGGCGGTCCTGCGCAAGCCCAAGGCCCAACTGGAAGCTTGGCTACGAAGCGAAGTCTTTGCACGAAATGAAGGAGTCCTCATGCTCCAGCATGGGTCTCAGAACCTCCACTCGCAGCCTGACGGACCCAGATCCAAATTGAGAAACTCAGGACATTCCTGACGGCACGTTCTAGGCTGACCTGGCCTAAGCTCCCTCCAGCGCTCCAGCGCGGCACGCACTGCTGCTGCCTCGCGCTCGGGCAGCTCATCTGGCGGCCGGAGCTCGTCGCTGCCTCAGCTCGGCTTAGTTTCCTCTGCTTCACGGGCTCCTGTGTGGCTGACTTCTTTCTGCAGCTAAGACTCGCAGAGGAACCTCCTCCCCGCTATCCAGAGCACGCTTCCTAGGCATTCCAGATCGTGCCAGTGCAGTGCTCTCTATATCCCTTCCAGCAAGCAGGATCAAAGACCGACATATGCCCGCCAGTGGCTTCACAGAAGGTGACATAGCTTGCAGAGAGGATTCTGGCCACGCTTGCCCATCACACCCGACAGCCGGTAGCACGTCCATTGTCAAAGTCATTTGAAGCTTTCAAAGCAGCGGCGGAAAGGTGGCTGGACAATTTAATGTTAGGCTATTGGATCCCTGGCCAGAACTCCAAATCCCGAGTTTCCACCTGTGAAGGGCAATGCTAGCTGCTGGTTTGCTTCAATCAAGCTCGGGCACATCTCGAAAGATCCCGCAGTCGCCGCGGACATGCCGCTGGGAAAAAAAGATAGCCTCTGCCGATGGAAACAAAACCTGATCTGAGCCCACTCCGAAGCCAAATACAAACGCCATGCAGTTTCTTTCTCCAAGACAACATCAAGCTTTGGCATTTGCAGCAACACATTCCGCCGCGAACCGGCCCACGTGCAGCAGTCAGACTATCAGGATGAAGTAGTCAGCACCACTCGCCCATTGCCTTTACTTGTGACAGACGGCGAGCAACCGTTTGGCACGCTGGATGCCGACATTCCTACGGAGTTGCCCACAACCACACGTTTGATCCTTGATGGGTCCAGCATTGTGCCGCCGGTAACAGCTCCTCCGCCTCCGACGGCCACGGGTGGTGAGTGCGGTTGTCTTGCAGGCAATGCGGCCGACAGCGCTGGAGCCCGGCGCGGACCATCCGTGGTGCTCCGATCCGCCACTTGTGATGCGACAGCTGTTGGCAGCCTTGTGCCGCATGCCATGCAGAATTTTTGGTCTCCCTCACAGGGTTCACCACATGACGGGCATGTCGTGGCAGCCTGGGGATAGGGAAGTGGAGCTGTCCCAGCATTCCGATGAGCGACATCTTGCGTGCTCTGCACGGTCCGTGAAACCGATGCCGGCTCCGTGTGCATGCGCAGCACTGATCGTAGCATGGCATCTGCCAGGCACAAGCACGCGAGGGCTTCCAGCCTGTCCTCCTCTGGACCAAAGCGATGGTACATAGCATCAACATGAGCTTTCAGCGGCGGGGTCAACCCATGTTGCTGAAAGACCGCTTCAAGAAATGTATGGACTCCATGCTGCTCCAAGTAGCCTTGGGACTCAGGGTCAGCCTTGCAGTAAGCGTTCAGGGCGACTCGGGAGGCATCTCCACGACGGAAGGCAGAGGTGGCAGAGGCACTCCGATTGCAGTTTACGGTGGCCAGAGGACCCAAAGGTCCTTTCAGCTCCTTAGCTACTCCTTGAGTGTATGCAATGGATGACAATGCATGAGAGCACTTGATTCCAAAATATCAGCAAGTGGCCTCGTCGAAATCAATCACAATCTTGCCCATATATGTGATGCCTGTGACAAGCTTGCCAACCCAACACAAGTCCTCAACACTGCACCTGCTGCTCTTGACCGGCTTTTCGGCTGTCCGCACAGCCAAGGTTGTACATAAGGCTTGAGCTAGAGGTCTCCAACTCGGGCACTTCGGCATAAAGGACCTTGGCTGTGTATCGGAACCCGAAGCAATCCCTTCACAGAAGCTTCCTCAGTCGCCCGCCCACTTCTCTGCCATGGCCAAGGGCGACCCCAAAGGCGCTGTCCGTAGATCCTGCACCTCGGCGACCAAGGCACGGACTTCGGCACGGAGCCTGCAACAAGGCGAGCATATCGCATTTCGAGCAAAACATGACCACAATTCACCACAGCACGGCACAGTGGCACAGGATCTGCCTGGCCAACTCTGCCTCCAGCACGCCGCGCTCCTTCACGTGCCGCTCAACTTGTCTGCGCAGCTCCTCTGCCTCCATCAACGCTCGGAGCCATGCTGAGCCATACTTCATGACTTCATGCTGCAAAGTCCTGCAGTCCTGCAGTGCACGGCCCCGAGCAGCGGCGGAGTCACTGCGCAACGCGGCAGAGTACTGTTGGAGCTCCTGCCAGCGAAAACCTTAGAACCCCCCGGCTTGGCCGCTTGGTGCGACTGAACAAGCCGGATGGATCCGCAACCCCCAATCCCCTCGGCCGCACGAAAGTCTTGCGCTCGCTGCATGGCCCACCTGTTAGTTTGGAGCTCCTCAGTCCCCACCCTTGGTCTGAACTCAGTGCAGCTCCTTCCCTGCCTTTCCGTTTTGCTCGCCAATGTAATCCCTACTACTGCCGGACTGTCGGACAAGCAAACCCGCTTGTCCGACGCCTTGGTAAGGTATTGTAAGCGGGAACGTGCGAACAGCATCAAAAACGAAGACTTTCTTAACGGCTTGGTGAAAACTCCCCCTTCGACATGCACACAACTCATGCAGGCCCAAGCATCCAAGCATCATGCCATTACGGAAACGAGTCAATGACCTGAAGGAAAGACCAGAATCTCAGAAGACCGGAATTGGCGAGAGTCCTGGCGCTGGCAACACAAACCCCCGAATGGGCCGAATCCGTGGATCTAGACGCTGTTGGTGTCGCTGCACTCCCTCAACCAATACGGCGGCACCACAGAAACTGGAAAACAGATGCGACGTTTGATGAGTGTGGCACAAACCCAGCACAAACCCAATGCGCCGACATGCGCCGAGCACCGGTCAGACACAGCCACCTCTAAGCAAGTGTCATGGGACTCCCACTGTGCATCCTTGACACCAACTGGCAGCCTGTCGCAGCATCAAGACATCGTGACTCGGCCACATGACCCTGCCCGAACAAGTCTGCTCGTCGAAATGCTGCTGTCTATTCTTCGTTGCAGACACACGCACGCACACACACACACACACACACACACTTGACACAATGTGTCACAGGTCTCGCGGTCAGCTCGAAAGAATCAGCTCAAGGAAATCACACTCTAGTGTTACGGATCTCAAAGCTCATTACCCGTGCATTCGCGAACATCAAGCAGAACTGACATGTACATGACTGTCATGGCGTCTTTGGGACTCAAGGCACAATTGCATATGCATGCCAGCGACATCCTCAGATGTCCAGGCACTGCCATGGCAGGTACGTTTCACGACTGCATTGCTTGGGTCTTGGTTGGCGGATGCCAAGCATTCAGTCCATCCGCCCCCCCGCAAAACGTAAAGATACTCTTCGACAGAGCTGGACGCACACAAGCCCTATCGGCTCACATTTTCTCACAATAGGCACTCGGACTTCATCTCAGACACTGATAAGTAAAGCTCAACAGGTGCAAGCTCTCATGTGTTGCTGTTTAAGCAAGTCTTTAGTTGGGTCGTCGCTGTCGTTGTTGTCGTCGTTGTCGTCGAATGATTAGATGACGGTGAACGACAAGAGTTACAGAGACAGGCCCGATGAATTGACGGAGAAAGTGAAACACCTACTGGTGAACGCAAGAAAACAATGAACGAAAAGAGAGCGTCGGATGGGAACGGCGCAACACCAACCGTACAAGTGACCGACTACAGCAAGTCTTTAATTGTGTCACCTGGAATCGACAGTCTGCCTGGATTTCGACACTCAAACACTTGCAGCTTCAAGTATGGCCTTATAGGTGAACAACTGCAGAGAGACAGGGCTGGTCACACACATGCCCTTCCAACTGCAACGAATCCTCCGTTGGTTCGCCGCTGTCGTTGTCTTTTGTTGTCGTCGAATGATTAGATGACGGCGAACATGAAGAGTTACAGAGACAGGACCGATGAAATGACGGAGCAAGTGAAAGTGAAACACCCACTGATGAACGCAAGAAAACAGTGAACGAAAAGAGAGCGTCGGATGGAAATGGCACTACACCAAGCTGTACAGGTGACCGACTGACTCTTCGCATTACGTCAGCTAACTCTTTGGAAGCAATGTCTACTGTACTGAAGCCAGAGACCTGCGACAAGTCGATGGGAAACTCATCTGGTACAGTCAAAGTGATGTCAGAACGAAAAGGAATCAATGTAAAAGTCACTTGTCAAGACTGCCGAATGCGAATGCGAAGCGTGTAAGTCAGTTGATAGTCACTGTGCGAGCCAGGATAAAAAGTCAGGTAAAGTCAACCAAAGCTCATGGAATCAGCCGGGAAAGTCAGCACCAGAGCAACCTCTGGGAGACACGGCGCCCATACGGAATGCCGTTGTGAATCACACTTGACACAATGTGTCACAGGTCTCGCAGTCAGCTCGAGAGAATCAGCTCAAGGAAATCACACTCTAGTGTTACGGATCTCAAGGCTCATTACCCGTGCATTCGCGAACATCAAGCAGAACCGACATGTACGTGACTGTCATGGCGTCTTTGGGACTCAAGGCACAATTGCATATGCATGCCAGCGACATCCTCAGATGTCCAGGCACTGCCATGGCAGGTACGTTTCACGACTGCATTGCTTGGGTCTTGGTTGGCGGATGCCAAGCATTCAGTCCATCCGCCCCCCGCAAAACGTAAAGATACTCTTCGGAACAGAGCTGGACGCACGCACACACACACTTAGACATCCATCGCGCAGCCACTAATCAATCTGGTTATCAAGCACAGCTTGATGTATCTCGAAAGCATGAAGCTTCCAGGGGGTCCGGTACCAATCTGGCCTCAAGGCTCATCTTCGCTTGATCTCAAACTTATTCACTGTACAAGGCAAACTCCTCCAAACCTGCACATTCGATTTCCATTGGGGTTCTAGGCTTAGTTAGCCCCAAGCCATATCACTTGCAGAGACACTTGCAGACACACTTGCAGGTACACCAAGCTGATCAGGCTTGGCTTCCCTCTCTGATGCATAGCTTCGTTGGGTACGGTAGCATCAGAGAGCCGTACCCCCCTGCTATTTTCAGCATTTCAGCACTACTGTCCAACGTGTTTCAAAAACGGTTCCTCTTGGTAACAGAGGTCCACACACACAGTAAGCCACTAAGGCGAAGCAACCTAGGGTCTGGACTCCAAACGAGGACGGTTTTCGTCCGAATATGGCTCAGCCCAGTGAAAGGTCAATGGTACTGTATTGTTGACAGTACTGAATTTGACATAGTACGGTAAATGAGCCCCGCTTTGCGTAAGTTTAAACGTACGCTTAGGGATGCGATTCCACTCCAAACTGATCGCCTCTTTAAGGTCGTCGATAATGCCTTCGGCCGGAATGTCGAAACATGCAACCGTGGCACCATGATGGCGGCCACCAGAAGGCAGATTTTCAATCCAGAATCCTCGGGTCATCCGCAGCGGAGGCAGATGTTTCGGTGTCCGAGGGAGAATAAGTGGATCATCATCTTTAGCGCCATCAGGTGGAAGCGACGCTTGTGCAGCATCTCGTTTCATGGCAGAAAAAGCTACACGTACACTGGGTCGCTGTTGCGTGGGAGCAGGAAAACTGTACAGGCGAGTGCTCTCACTGTATGCAGGACAGAAAAATGTGAGTCAGGTCACAAGGTCATGCCAAGAATCTCTGGTAGTTTTTCCAGCAAGTGACATGTAATCCTGTACACGTCCGGTGTCCAAATCAAAATAAGAATCAAACGTTTCGGTTGGGACACTGTGCAACATACCAAAAATGGCAAGCACAACGGAGGTTAGCTCTGACCAGCATTTTTGCACAAGCCTTTGACCGTGCTGCAGGATTTCGGTGAAACTGCATCGGATCCCCAAGCGTGATATCACTCGCTTCAGAGGGAACAGGCGAACGCTCACGTTTGTCCTTCTTAGACTTCATGGACTTCTGAGACTTATTTGGTGACCGGTCCTTTTTCAGCCTTTTGGACTTCTTGGACTTCTTGGTCTTCTTGCACTTGTTGGAGGACTTCTTAACCCAAGACGCCACCTCTGTGGGTGCCGAGTCTTTGGGAGGATCGAAAGCCGAAGACCAGGAGCTAGCATCATCAGGAAGTTCATCATATGGTACCCCGTTGTCTTGACGGGAAGCCATGCCGGTGTGTCGAGAAATCAAGACGGAAACGGCTGGCGGCACCACATGAGTAAAAAAGGAAAAAACGCCTTCGGCTCCACGAGAGACAGAGAGAGAGAGGGGAGAGAGAAAGGGCGAAAGAGACATAAAACCGAGCGTAACGCTCCTACGCGCTGTTTTGCAATGCGCAAAGACGGTTCCACTTTAGTGGTGCAGGCGCTCTAATCCAGTAATGATGAAAGTCCCACAAATGTCAATTGGGAAAACGAATTAAGCAGACAAGTCGTCTGCTGTTCCAGCATGACAAAAGCTCTCACGGTGATGCATCTCGCTTGCGTTTTCGGGGCGACAAAGAATTAGCGCTCTCAGTAGGGAGGTTCAAGTCCACCGAAGAAGTGGTCTGAGAAGCTTGGTGCCACTGATTGTCAGCAGCCAAACGATCCGAAATCCAGCGAGAGGTGGCGGGAAACCAAGATTTCCACCACGTTTCATTGCCATTGGGTCCTTGATTTTTCACCCAATAAAATCGCCACGAAACAGTCGGAGAACGCGATCGGGATCGATCCGACATGGCGTGTACCGCTGAAAGCCGAACGCTGGAACTGAACAACGCAATTTAAAGAACCTAAGCGGACACATTGCATGCAAGACTCTTCTGCATATACATTCTGTATTGCAACAGTCTTTTTTCATGCATGAAAGACTCCATGTATCTTAAGCCTCTCTCTGTACATCGGAGACCGGTAAAGCTTCGGTGCTTCGTACAGAGTACTCCAAGCCAGGCCAGCTGACTCCCCAATCCTGTCCTTCCCCCGTTTCAAAAGTAATCGGCCGGGGATTGTTGGGGGTGGACATCGGCAACGTAACGGAATGGGTGCTTGACAAAATCCAAATTTTGTCAATGCGTCCTGCGGCTTCACGCACCGCCCAGCGCTTATCTCCTGAAGGGGAGTGTACAAGCGGGTGGAACTTGCACAAATGTCCTTCATGTACAGTGCTGGAGGACTTGGATTTGTGATGCGCAGATCCAAGATATCCTCCCACGACCACTCCTGCGGAATTCTTCGTGGAGTGGTGCAGTTTTGACACGAAGTCTAACTTGCTCTCTTCATAGTACACGTGTTGTGTGGCTTTGCCATAAAAGGAGCACACATGATCGTGCGGCGCCACATGTACAGCTTCGGCGCTAGAGCGAATGACCCTGCCCAACGTGAGGATGCCGACCAGGCCTTCGGCCGTGGTCCCGTGTCCCCAAAGATAATAGCAGTTGGTCTGCTCTTCAGGTCCTGGCATATGTGCCACTGGAAACTCCCAAACATGCAATGCTTCTTGGGGCATGGCATACGCCTTGGCATCATGCTGAAAAATTGTCTTATATGGTATCTTGCTGGCCAAAATGGACCGGGCAAGAGTGACAATCTCCCGTTGGCCAATAGGAATCACAGGCAGAAAAGGTCGGTCTGCCTGGCCAAATCGGGTCAACAAAAATTTCAGCACATCCTCAACATCCTCTTTGAGGATTTTTGAGACTGGCAATGAACGTTGCCGAGTAAAAGTGATGCGATCAGTGAATCGTCGCATATGAGAATGTGGGATAATAGGCCACGTATGCAAGCCTTCGGTTGTGAGAAAGTTCTCATGATAATGCAAAACGAAGAACATATACGCCAAGAGAGAACTCATTCCCTCCTCATAGAAATCGACAGCATTGCGGCCTTTGGCTCGAGCTGTGATTTGCTCTCGCAGTTGTTCATAGCTGCTGCGATGAGCAGCATGAAATAGCTGTTCCTCATCAACAGAAATCAAACCGGATTGAGCAGGAGGAACTGGGCTCTTTGGAGCCGAATTCTTGGGAGGTGTCTTGGGCGCCGTGTTCTTGTGAAACTCCGGTGAGGGAGCTGCCGCAACAGGCTCCTTGTTATTCAAAATCGGGCCTGTCTCCGGTTTGCTTTGTGCATTGCCGGGAGCTCCAAAAGCTTGAGCAGCCCGATGTAATGTATCAGTAGCTGCTTGAGAATGTGAAGCAGGAGCTCGAACTCTGGGTGTTACTGGCCTTTGGCTCAGAGTCCCAGCAGGAACAGTAGGTACCCATTGCCCCGGCGGTCGCTGTGGACTGTTGCTGGGCCCTTTGTTTTCATGAGGCCGGGAACGGACAGAAGCCGGCTCAATAGATCTCGGTCTAGGCCGGGGTGGCATGTTTTCTAAGCTGGCAGAACGAAAAGGTGGGCGCATCGGAGGAACTGCACTGACCGACCTTGTTGGTGGTCGAGTGGGAGGGAGGGGGAGGCAGAACTGGTCGAACTGGGGCCGCGGGAGGTCCCTCAGGTTGACGTTCATGCCGATGGTGTCGACGCCGTCGTCGTCTCGAGCGACTGCGATCATGACGCTCACGGCTGGGGTGAGTAGACCTGGCCGGCTCACCCGGTGTGAGTTGAATTGGAAGCGGAGCTCGAGGTGGTGGGTGTACCGAAACCGACCGAGCTCTGCTAGCTTCCTGAGGAGTCGAAAGAATTGTAACCGGAGGTTGTGGTCCGCTTGAAGTCTGCACTCCAGGGGGTCCTCCGTAGAAGTGAAAATGGTATTGCTGGGCCATGGCTCGGGGTTGAAATATTCCTTCAACAGGCCGATACCCAGCTGAAAACCAATGTAGCTATGGTACTGAATCAGTAGCTCACGTGCACAATTAGGAACAACAACATTGCAAAGAGGCAGCGAAACTCTCAATCGAATGGCTTGTTTGTTGACTTCATTGCAACGCATTCACAGGAAAACCTGCCTGTACATACAGTTGCTTGAGTCTGCGAAGTTGTCCCGGTCTTGACTCGGGGGGCCAGGAATACTGGCGAATCAAAGATGCTCGAGAAAAGTATCCCGAGGCTGCCAGCTGCCACGATCCAGCGCTGTTGGGCGAGCGGATCTGCCACGGTTGCTCCGGGAGATTAAAAGTTGCTGAGCGAGTCTTGGCACAAATGGTAAAACCCAACCATTGATGGTCTGACACAGTTTCCAACTGAATCCCATCATAAAAGTTGGGATCGCAGAATCTCCGGAGTTGGGACGACAGTAGAATTTTCTGAGGTCCCAGAATCAGTCTGTTATCGACGTAACGGAGAAACAAGAAAGACGATTGGATGGCTGTCGGCAAAGATTGTAAAAACTGCCGCTCGGCCAGGAGTACAGGAAGTCCGGAGAGGATCGGCGAGATTTGATTGCCTATACACGTCCCCTCCACTTGCTGCCTGCACTTTCCAGCAGCTGTAAAAACTCCCGTGGCGAAGGATAGATCCACAATCAGCGGAACATCAGAAACCCAACACCTCTTCAAGTTTGATTTTGTTCGCCCCCGAGGTTTGCCCGGGTGTCCCGTTTTTGACAACATATCGATCGAAAGGATCGAACAGCCAGAAGTTTTGCAGTATTCCTGGACAATCAAATGCACTGCGTGCATGATGTCTTTTCGGGGAACTGCATTGAAGAATCCCACGAGATCGTCGTTCCATTCGACGTCTTCCTCTTGACTGGGCTTCGCCCAATAAGCATGAAGAGACTTCCAGAGCTGTGGCATGCTCTGCATGCCTGGGCTGTCAGCAAACAGCGTCTTGACCATTAAGGTTAACGCAATGGAAGTCAGCTCCAACAGCTTGCTGCACAACGAATTGGAATACGAAATGATGGTCCGTCCCTTGGCAAACTGTTTTTTCCGTTTCAGGAACACAGTGCCCTGGGGCAGCGGAGCTGTTTCTTTGAAGGCCCAGGCGTATCTTCTGGACAGATCTCGAGGAACGCGCTTTAAAATGCGCTGTCTCCATTCTTCAGGGGTACCATCAAGAGTACGAAACACAGACGGATCGTTCCATGTGGTGCTAACTCCTCGAAGGAAGAAGCGAGGACAATAGCACACGACATGATTCGGATGATGATCTTCGTTGTACAGAACAAAATCCGAGTGCAAGGCAGACTTCACCTTCTGTACCAAAGCCCAGTGTAGTCTGTTTGATTGTTCCAAGGCTGCAACGTGTTGCTGCCACTGGTGATCACAAAAGGATTGAAAAATTGGATGCAACGTGGCTGGTAGCTTGTGTCTTTTGAGCCACTGATCAAACAGAGCTCTGGACTTGGCCATCCAGTGATTGCGGCCTGGGAAAAAGGTGCTCGCGGCACTGGCCGATAAGATGCTCGAACAGCCTGGTAGTAGCTTGGTCAGGTTCTCCAAACCTGTGGCTACGTGGCCAGACACGAAGCAATGAGCAGGAAGTTTTCCTGCAAACTGCTCACACGGACAGTGCACCGACTCCAAATCAAAGTCGTGCTCCCACATCGTTTCTTCCCAAGATCGGAAGTTGTGGAGAAATTTCTTGATACCCTGGTGCGGAACTTCACGTAGGCTGTTCTTTGGAACATGAAAAGATGGAAAAAGATACTTGTACCGGAGGATGAGGTCTTTTAACCACTTCTCGCACTCCTTGGAAAACGAAGGAGACGCAGTTGGCAGGACTCCCAAAGGTCGGGAAGTCCGTGGCCAGTGCATCTTCTTGCGAAACTTGACTACACCTTTGAGTATTCCTTGCACCCTGTTGCGATGAGGGTTTTCGATATTGCGACTGAGCTTGAGGAGGGCATACACTTCCTCGTCAGCCGTCTTATTGGATCGGAGCAGCTTCGCTGTTTCAAAGGATGCTCGGGTTCTCGATGCCAACTTGAACAGCAGCCCCCAGGCTAACTCCCGAGAATCATGAATGAAGAATTTCGAACTGCGACCAAACATGCGCTTTCGCAGTTTGCGCCAGAGTCGGAGTCCAAAGGTACAATACAATGACCCTCTGCGTTTGGACGAAATCCGGAAACCAAGAGCGGTCTTCTTAATGAGAGACATTGCTCTGGGATAATTCAAAGGTGCCTGCCATTGAGCAATGAGTTCGTGCTCAACAGTCCAAGCTCGCTGGTAACTGTCACAAAATTCCAGCGGAACAAGCACAAACTGGAAAAGGTTGTGTTGGGATGCCCAATATCTCAGGGACAATTCTGCATCCACAAATTCGGTTCTTTGAAGTCTTCTGTAGACTGCCATGCGGTTCAAATGCCGCTTGGCTGCACCGACAGCAGTGCTTCCCACATACAGAAGTGATGAGGGCTGACGGTAGCCCGAACGAAATCGACCCATGTCGAAATCAACTTGAAAAATGCAATATACAGTGTTCGGCTTCTCAAACAGAGAATAGTGCAGAGTATCTGGATCCACTCCGAACTGCTGCAATCTCCGAACAATCTTGAATCTGTGCGAATCATTTTGGCTGGGTGCATTGAGGTAAAACAATAACACCAACGACATCAATGTATGCACCCAAATCAGCGGAGCCTTGGGTATTCCATCGCCAAACTCCAACATGAAGGCTGCTGCTGTACCAAGCGTGCACACTGCTGAAGCAAGCCTCTTACGGACCGGAATCGGCTGGTGTTGCACCGTTTTTGCTTGGGTAGCTAGTCAAGCTGATTCAAACTGACATGCACCAATGAACGAAGACAAATTGGTGAATGACATCTTGCCGGCATGGCTTTTCTTCAAGCCGTACTTGATAGCAAGATCTGCCTGGCTTTGTCGATCAGTAGCTGAATCTTTCAGCACAGAGCAAACATCAGCCACATGTTTCTTAAAAGCTGCAGCTTGACCACGAAACTGGCTCTGATGCTTCTTGAGCCATTTCTCAACGACATCAGGAGAGCTGGAACTCGGAACAGAGTTCGGCGGATTCTGGAGTTCCGCATTCAAAATCTGCTCAGCTGACGGTGATGGTGAAGCGGTGGGCTTTGGGCCAGTTTTGGCCTGCTTCTTCTCTGGAGTAAGAGCAATCCCAGCTTCCTTCAACTTTCGCTTCGCACGAGCAAGCTGTTCACTCTCAGGCGATGGCTGGTTTGAATCCGCCGAAGGGGGCGAGTTGGCTTTGATTGTTGAAACAATCTCGCCGAGCAATGGTTGCATAAATCTCGCAGACTCCCTGTGCTTATCAGGCGGAGCTGGGCCGTGCATATTTGCAGCCACGGCATCAAGATCGATACGGTCTTGCCGGATGTGACGAAGCAGGTTAGTCACAAACACTGCTTCTGAAATCGACCTCACGAACACTAAGCTTTGAAATTCTCCATTGGACAAACAGCGGAGACTGAAGTCATCAAGACCTTTTCTCGTCAGGTCTGAAACACGAAGATCGGCGACATCTTTTCCAGCCAGTCCAGCTTTCGTAGACCAGGGCGTGGATTGGATGTTACGAAAGAACTTCTTGCCAGAAATAGCATTCTTGTCGTAACACTCCCAGTCACTGGTAAAAGACGATGGGATGGCAACATTGGCGCTGGGAACAGACTGTTGAGGAGATTTTTGCCAGTCACGGTTGTTCCAACCCGACGATCCTTTCTTCTCCCAAGACGAACTAGCCCAGGACGACTTGGCCCAATCTTGTTCACGGGTCCACGACATGATCGCAAGAGATTGCTAAAGGCTTGTGTCTCGGAGCTGAAATCGTGGTCTGCGGATAGAAAAGCCGTTGGTTCCATCGGATCTGCAAAAATTCAGGACCTGCAATGAAACCTGGCATCAAACCTGACATTAAGTCAGGAGCGGAGAAAACATCACGACTGAGGTAATCAGATGTCTGCACCATCGGAGCAGCAAATTCAGTCGAATCTGTGAGGACCACGACGGGCCCAAAACAATGTATCCCTGCCTTTATCAGATCCACCCTGGCAGGTACTCGCACGGGCTAACCCCGCCGCAGGTAGCGCGGTAAACGAATACAAGACCAGCTTGTAACTACCTGGGACACACTTAGACATCCATCGCGCAGCCACTAATCAATCTGGTTATCAAGCACAGCTTGATGTATCTCGAAAGCATGAAGCTTCCAGGGGGTCCGGTACCAATCTGGCCTCAAGGCTCATCTTCGCTTGATCTCAGACTTATTCACTGTACAAGGCAAACTCCTCCAAACCTGCACATTCGATTTCCATTGGGGTTCTAGGCTTAGCCCCAAGCCATATCACTTGCAGAGACACTTGCAGACACACTTGCAGGTACACCAAGCTGATCAGGCTTGGCTTCCCTCTCTGATGCATAGCTTCGTTGGGTACGGTAGCATCAGAGAGCCGTACCCCCCTGCTATTTTCAGCATTTCAGCACTACTGTCCAACGTGTTTCAAAAACGGTTCCTCTTGGTAACAGAGGTCCACACACACACACACACACACACCCACCCACCCGCACGCGCACGTGTACACGTGCCCACAGTGCAGATCTCCCGCTTGCGAGGCAATCACGTTCCTCGTACTCCGCCTCCAGGGTCTGGTACTTTGTTCGCAGCAACTCGGCCTGACATGCGACCAGCTTTGCAGCGAAGTTTCCCAGGCCAAGCCGGCAGTGCCTGCAGCTCCAGCTCGTCGCGTCCAGCTTCGAGGATCATGACATTTGCCCGGAGCTCCTCGAAGTGAAATATATTTAATTTCTACTCGCAGCTTATATAGCTATTTCCAATTCTGCACCGGCTTTGCGCTCGTGAACTCTCGTGCTCCTGAAGCTCAGAGGCACCGTTTTCCATGCCAGTCGGATGTCCTGACAAGATCGACAAGATACCGACACAAAGGAACGGTCTGCATCACTAGCTGATGAAGTAAGTATAAGTATAAGGGTATAAGGCAGTCCGAAATAAACCTGATGAAGATAGGGGTTGCTTGATGCGCATGCGGAAAACCCTCAGAAAGCTGCCCCCTCCCATGTTGGACATATTTCCGACTGGAACATCCTTAGCAATGCGCTCAATGCGCTCAGGCCACAACTTTCCGACTTTCCATCTGCCGGGTTAAAAGTTTACCCCAAGTTAACCCGCACGAGCGAGGAAGAACTGCCATGACAAGATCCTAACTGTAAAGATCCAACGCCTCTCAACCGGCAGCCTGGTCCACCATGCTGACGGGAGCTGCTCATCTCGCCGACCGTCTGCAATTGCTCTAGCCTGAGACACAAACCCTCAAAAAAAGCTGGAAAATCCTTGAAAGTATCCGGGGAGCTCCAGTAAGATGGAGTCGCGGTGCGCCTCGCGCAGGCAAGCGCAGCAAGCGCGGCCTAAACCCAGAAACCCAGCGCCTGGCTCAGGCCCCGAGTTCTTTTCGCACTGTCTTGAAAGAGCCTCTTCGGTTCTACCAGGCAACTCCCCGACAGCATATTTCGCAGCCAGGAGTTTTCAGAAGGCGGAAACACTCCCTCCAAACTTCGGGAGTCCCCCGAATCAGATTAACACTGTGGAATCCTGGAGTTCAGTCAAGCGGCTAAGCAGCTAAGCAAGTGCAGTGGTGCCTTGCACGTGCCTCTTTCGAGCTGCACATGCAACGGCGGACTAATTAGCCTGACTGCAGCTCCGACGACTCGGTCGTCACATGCAGCTGCACCGAATTTTGATTTGAACATTGCTCCTCAGGCATATGTCGCAGCATGTGCGACACTGCAGGAAAATCTGCTCGCAAAACCGAATTATGCTTCCGCAGTCACTGAAAGAAGCCACTCTGCAACGAACTGCAAGTCCCTTCTCACAGGGTCTGTGCGAGGCAAGCTGCTGGGCATTCGGGACGCGGCCTGTGCCTGCAGCCACACGTCGCTGGACAAAGCAGCTGAGATGACTGGAACCCCATTTTGCCAAGCTCTGCCGTCTGCGCACAAAAATCGAAATCGGTCCCGTCGATGTTGACGGGATCCGCGAAAGCTTCGCAGGTCGTGGAGTTGCTTCGGAAGATGATCCCCTTCCGCTGCCACAGGCCATGTAGAAAGGTCCTTAGAGCCTCGCTGTTCGCCGGCGCATCCGAGCAGGTTGAAAGCTCTGTCACAGTCTCGTCAAAGAGCGTGCGGCAGACCGAAGGGCAGCCGAAGGAAGGGAGGCTCGCAATGAAGCTCCCGGACTGCAAGTCACTGCATCCACAGGTGACCGGGCAAAGGGCACGTAATCGCCATAATGTCTCGAGATGCAAGCTGCCATTGAAGCAGAATGACTGCACGGAAGGACAAGACTCCATTGCAGCGGCGTCCGGAAGTAACTCCCGCAGCTTCTCCATTGCTGCCGTGCCCAAGTTCACCAAGCCAAAGCCTGAATACACGGGACTGTCCAAGTCTTGGCACAGAGGCCAAAACTCGCTGCGTTCCTCGAAACCCAAACTCTTCAGCTGCATGGCCAGACCAAAGAGCTCCCGATTCTGGAGCTGTGCTCCTAAGCCGGGAGGCTGCACGTCCTCTAGCTGAGTGGCTTGCAGCACCGCCCGGTAGGCATAGCCTTCATCGGACTTCTTAGGCAGAGCATCGAGGCCGTCGTCGAGAATGTAAGCCAGTCCCGCTGCATCTTGAAAGTACGTAAAGTTGGTAACCCCAGAACACATGGCATCCGCCGTCGCTTGCATGTTGTTGACCAGGGGCTGCAAGCAGAGGACATGCGACCCAACTAGGCAGGTCAGCGACAGCGTGAATATGAAAGCTTGCCGTGCTTGTAGAACCCAGGGTCGCCAGAGCTTCACCTGCACGGCAAACGCAAGGAACCACTCGGAGTGAACAGCGTTTCCGAATTCCATCAAGCTGCTGGTATTGGTTTCAAAGATTTGATCGTCTCGTGCACACGACGTGGAACAAGCACCGCAAAGAAGAGGTCGTCGATGCAAAGAACCACTTCCAAGGCCACCGCATTCCTGGAAGGTGCACGCCAAAAAATCCCTGCGAGGCTGAACATGTACGCATCTACTTCACTAAAAGTCCCTGCCAGGCAGCAAAATCAAATCAGAAAGAGATGTGGTGCTTGCCAGAAAATGGACTCCAATTATGCCGAGGACCTCGGGTCGCACGACTATAACTCCATGACCATACGTGAAAAGCTCAGTTGCTAAGAGCTCTGGCGACTGAGGTGGAGGCTAAGGCGATGCTCAGTCTGGGAAGCATGTTGAAGACGACTAGAACCACGACGCGATGCAAGCTGACAACGGACAGCTGAACAAAGCGTCCGGGATTCGAGACAGCATCTGCAACACTCGAACTCCGTGGCAAAGAGGCCAAGGCGATGCCGAAACCACATGCACAACTCATTTCCTTGAGGACCGTGAAGATCCAGACTAGCAAAGCGATAAGAGCTAACCATGCTCCAACAGGAAGCAAGGGCCAGCGGAGATCTTGGTTGCCGGTCTCTCGGATGCCGTACTTGAACATTGTTTCGTAAATCTCCGCCTGCACATTCCCGTTCATTAAGGAGTTCGACATGCTGCATACACCCATGATCAAGGGCTGGCCCGTGATGGCATCAATGTAGTTGATGTTCTGGCCTCGGCAAATCGGCAAAGAACCTCTTCGCGAAACTCACAGCCAGCTCGAATTGACATGTTGGGGCCCAGGCCAAAGTGGATGCGCCAGTCCCGCATTTCTTCGGCAAGCGAGCTCTCGAAGACCGTTTCGGTCATGTTGTCGTAAAGAATCAAGACAAAGAAGCCCTCAACCAAAATGGACCACAACCCACAAAAAGCAACCGCCAACGACTCTTGCCAAGACAGGATTCCCAAACCCACAAGGACGCAGGAGTCCCAAACACAGGCGTCGAAACGGTACTCAGCATTGCTCTGCCGATCTTTGGGCAGTTGCTGGACTGCATCCCGATCGTCGTCTGGCGCTGTGGAAATGTTCAACGGCTCGTGTCTGAAGGGCAGTCGAGCGGGTGCCTGCGGCAGAGCCAGAGAAGGGCCTTCAGCCTACGCGTACAAGCTTGCCTGGCTTACAAGACAACTTTAAGCCGGAGTCTCAGTCTCTTCATGATGCCACCATCAACAAGCCCAGTTAACATGCGGCACTAGCATAACAAGATTAAAGAAGGTAGCCGCAGGAAAGACGCTGCAGTCCGAAGGGCCGGTGCAGTCGTGACACCCTGGATCTGCAAGCCTGGCAAAGATGCTTAAGCGGCCTTGATTTTTGCACTCACAGGATCTGGGCCGGGGGCCTTCCTCCAACTCGGCCTTTGCGTTGAACACAACATTCTGCAAGCGCTTCTCCACCGTCTCCAAGCGCTGCTCCAGGTCCCTCGCGATTCTCTCAGCATGGGTCGCTTTCTGTAAGAACAAGTTCCACGGTGCCTCAGCCTGTCCCTGGTGCACTCGTCTATCAACCTGGGCAGCCGAGCTCAAGCCCGAACACATCCGTTATGAGCTACAACAGAACCGGGCCCTGTGGGGGTCCGGGCCTCCTCAGCTCGAAGTGGTCCAGCACTGTCCCCTTCTTCGGGGAGTCGCCCGCCCCGAGCCCAAGCCCACCACATAGCATCACGAGAAAGTGAGACAGGAGACGCTGATATCTTAAGCTACTATGCTGCAGCTACTATGCGGTCGGGTCGAGATCGTAGCACTGATTGCAAGCCACCCTGTAAAACATTCCAGCATGCTCTAAGTTGCTTGAAGAATAGCCATGTTGAGCCAGAACACATTGACATCGCGAACATGCAGAGTGCTTAAGCACTCCTGAACTATCGGAGCACCCACTCACCGGCTTCATCGGTTCATCACTCTCTTGTTTCTGCACAGTCTATGTTCCCTCGATTCCCTCCGTGTTGCCGCATTCCCTCCCAGATTGTGTAAGCCAAACACGGAGGTCTGGGTCGCCTTTTCTGGAGCTAGCTTCTTCCAATAGAGGGGAGGTTGCTGGCTCAGCACTATTTCACCTCTGACCCACCAGTACACACCGACCGCAACATCTTCCTCGGTGCAGTTGAACTTTGAAGCTGGGCCTGTGGTCGGATCGAGTCAGCACGGGCATCGAATTTGGCTGGCCGACAGCATCGAGACAAACAGACCGAGACGTGCCCGACCTCGCATACAGAGTCGAGCTTTCTGTATGCTAGAAAAGATCGTGAGGACCTGACATCATGTCTTCGAACGACTTCTGCATTGACACAATGAATCATAGATCTTACATGGGGGACTCGCAAAGCGGGAGTTGCGGCCACTCCGGCTGTAGAAGTTGCGATGCTTGCCTTAGACGCCCTGGACAAGTAGCTCGTCGGATTCAATTCTTGAGCATAGGCTCAAGCACTGTTGTCAGAGAACACATAGAGATAAAGAGTTCACCGTCAACATGAGGGAGTTCATACTGCTTCAGTGCTTCTCATGTCTCCGTCAGCCTCCAAGGCCGCGCACCGAGCCCGGAGCTCCGTCTCGCAAGCCAGGGGCGTGCTCTTCTCGAGCAACCCACCTCAGCGACGTGGGAACTCCGAGCATCTGACGCCGGAACCATACCCAAGGCATATATAGTCTATAGAATCTAGAATGAATCATGCTCAGAAGCTGATCCACTCGTTGGTGGCTGAGAGCTGCCGATGTGCCCAGCGATACCCCTCAACCGTATCCATAAGCGAGATCCAGCCACTGTACTTGGCTGCTACCCGACCTCGGACTCGCTTTTCTGCTTTACGGTGCACCACCTCAAGGATGTGGACCTCCTCGCCGGCCAGCAGCCGGCCCAGCTTCTGGGAGCTCCGACCCGACGACTCGGAGACGTCCACGTCGCTGGCGAGCAAATAAACCCCAGGCCCATCCAGCTGCAACGATACCTGCGAAGCCAAAACCGTAACCTTTTCACTGAGAGTGCAACTGAGTCGTCTCAAGATGTCTCAAGAGGGCTTAAGCACCAACCTTGCACGAAGCAGCAGGGCTTATGGGCAGCCAAGCAAACACTTATTGGCGACCAAGCGGTGACCCCTAAAAGTTGCCACAATCAGGAAAAGCCACAAAGGCCGTAAACACTTTTTCGGCGACAGTGCCTGCTTGAGCTCAAGCTCGAGGTTCCGACATCGCTCGCTCTTCTCCCGCAGCTGCTGCTCACAGCGGCTGAGGTCTTCCGCTGCAGCGGCCCTGAAGTTATCTTCTTCCTCCTTGCAGTTTTGGGCATCCTTTCTGGCCGCAGTTTTTTGTTCCTCCATGGCCGTCTCCAAGGCATCTAGTTCTCTCTGCAGTGAGAGCAACTGCTCACTTCGCAGAGATGCGGAACGGTTGCTCCGCTGCAGGTCCCTCGAGGCCCAGCGGTTGGAATCCTGACAAAGTCTGGCTTGATGCAGTCAGTGACTGAGCGAGCGGGATGATCGAGCGAGCGAGCGAGCGAGCGACTGTGGACCAGCACTTACGGTGGCACCTGGTGTCCCTCTCCTGCCAAGCAACAAACTGCCAAACAGTGGAACAAACAAAGTACACAGTCAAATGCCAAACCCTTGGCAAACAGCTTCATCACAACGTCAGCTTATGAAGAGAGCAGAAACTCCACGCACGGGGGTACCAGTAAAACTCAAGCACCTCACCGGGGAGATGGTGGTTCTGCATTCGTGCCACCTTGAAACTCTGCCCGGTCTGTCTACCAAAAGCTGGCATGCTCAAGCATTTGAGCCTTGCGTGCAGCTACTTCGTCGCCTTTACGATCGCTGTGCAGAACTGTCCTCCGTGCCTACGATGGAGATCCACCCAGCTGGGTCTTCAACCCTGCACCGGAGAGCTACAACAGCGACAAAGGGCTCCGATGAGCATCTGGCCTCCCGCGAACTCTTTTGTCTTCCTGCCTGGGTTGGCTCTGATTTCTATCCGGCTGGACCCGCCCAATGGCCTGAGACCCGTACTGGTGCACAACCTCAAGGACTTGGACAACCGTCCCAACCTGCACAATGCCCCGTCGCCACCCTGCCCTTAAGCTTTGCTTTGCTTGATGACCCGTGCGATGATCGCATCAGCTGCTTAGCATCATATAGCGTCCAATGCAGCTTCGGAGCACTGAGGTTTTGCAGCTTTGCTGAAGATTTCTCGGGACCAACGGTGAGAGCCACGGTCTGTGACACCACCTCTGTGCGTAAGCTCTGAGACATGGCCTTCCTTGCGAAAGACACAGTTGGGCCAAGAAGCATAAACACCAGGACTGTCCTTGAGCACCAAAGGCACATCTGGCTCAGTAAACAGCAAGTGTCATGGCAGTGTCCTATGTTTCGAAACCAGGCAGGGAAGGTTAACAACACGGGTGGAGGCCAGCATGTTCCTGGAATTCTACTTTGTCTGACATCCGAACCACATCTTCATTGCTTGTTTGCTGCCCTGGAGCAACAGCGAGCAACCTCAGGCAACAGTGCGGCTTTACATGTGGCCCAACCGCCCTGCCTGAAGATCAAACAAACATGGAGCAAAACTGCTCGAGATGGGGTTGCGACAACACGGTCTGCATGCAACATCATGCAACACACGCTATGCTCATAGCCTGCGACCTCAAGCCAAGGATCGCTCCCGAAAGCTCCGGTGGTTCTGCCAGGCTCTTGTCTTTGCAAGGCTGGCCTCCTGGCCGGTGTTGCCCGGCCTCCTCACCAAGGCAGTGCTTTCCGTCTCACACACTCTCCTGCGTATGTACGCTGTACATGCCAGCCTCCGGCGACCTGAGATCGGGAACCTGTTCCTGCAAAACAGCAGCAAGCTTCGCGTGCAGAGATCCACCGTGAAACGGAGCGGAGGGGGTCCTCCACATTCTCGTCCCTGCTGTGGGCATCAAAACTCAGCTCTCCGGACTTCCTTGCAGCATGTGCGCGCTAGCTAGCAGAGGCATTAACATCAGCCTGTCTTGGGCTGCAAAGCGCGGGCTTGCGTCGCGACTTGCTGTCGAAGGTTTGCGATATCAGCGTCTGCCTCACACGAAAGCTTACGCTTAAGCATTTTCTGCGAAGTAGACTAGAAAGCGCTGAGGTGCAGCTTTCATCTGTTCCTCCAAACGCTCGTATCTAGACTTCCACTCCGACTCCATTATCTCATCTGGAAGCTTCGCCGAGGCCTGGCCGTCTGCACTACACTGGGATTGGAAAAGCATGTCAGAAATAAGAGCCCCATGCACATGCACCCACAAGCTGCCATGCGACACTGTGCTGTTCCTGCTATAATAAGATGCCGTCTGCAAGGGATCCGAAGATCCTTGCCTATGTTGACTGCGTCGAACCCGTCTTGGTATGTCTGGGTGGTTCTCGTTCTCTGCGGAAAGTCTTGGTTTTGTGGTGGGCACTGATCAGCCGCAAGGGTGGCGCTCGCAGCACCAGTCAGACCATCGGGCGATTGGCCGGGAAGCCAAAGCAAAAAAACTGTCATCGTATGTGAGCTATGATTTTTTCCAACCCGCCCAGCTGACAAGTCGCACCGAATTCGTCCAAACTCGACTGTGGGTTGCAGGGGGCCTGTCTACGCAGCTCTTCAAGCTCCGCCTGCTGGCTCCGGTCTTTTTGCACCTCAGTTGCCGCTCACCGGATCACCCCAAGCCTACTTCACACCACAATCAATGCGCCATGGTGCCAGATAGTCCCGCTCGGTCTGAAGTCTGTTCACCAGCGCCTGAAGCGCTTGGAGTTCGAAGGCCTGTGAAAGCCCGCGCATCACGCCGCATACAAGGTTCAAGCTTTCTCAAGTATCGTAACATGTCCTGTCTTGTTTTTTCAGAACATCTCATGTTTCCTATCATTTCCACACACCACCCACATTCACGCTCGCCAGCCAAACCGGCAGACGACACTCGGGCATGGGGTCGAGCGGCACGTCACATATCTCGCAAGCGAAGAGAAGGAGAGGGCCCCGCCGACCCCCAAAACGGACCGCGGTGAACCGCTGGCTCATCACAGTATGCCAGCAAGCGGTTGCGGCCGATCCTCGGGGCGGACTGGACGGCTGGCAAACCGCCACGGACCAGGTCCCTAAGCGTCCAAAAACCTTGCAGGCAGCCACACCTTTGACCCTGATTCCCACCCAGACCAAAAAAATGCAAGTCGTGCGATCTCTGCTCAAACGTTTGGAGTACTGAGTACCTAGTCCCCACGCTCCGACCCAAGTGGCCATGGATTGACCAGTCGTTTCAACACAATTCTGAACAGGCAACTGATCGAATGCAGAAGTGTGAACCTCAAATCCCAAAAGTAATGTAACTAGCCAACCGATGATGTGAGAGACTAAGGACCTAACCACAGGAAAGGCTCAGGGAGAAATATGAGTTGCAGGGCACAGAACGTATTGAGGTGGAAGCTCAAACACATCTGCTGCTGCCTCGTCCGTAGGACCGGCTGGGACCTCGCATACATTGCAACAGAGGTGCCGTGCCAGCATCTGACGTTGCACCTGCCTTGTCTCGCAGCTCGTCCTATCATGCGAATTCTACAAACACAAGTCTTACGCAGCTCCGGCCACGCCTCAGCTTCGAGGATTGCCCTTGCAGCTAATTGCTCAGCAAGACCATCCGACGCTGCCTGGACACATCACAGGCAAGAAGTCTGGTCTGGTGCGATTGAGTGCGGTTGTCTGAGAGCTGCGCCTCGAACCTTAGCTGTCAGACAAGCATACGACCTCTTGCACCCTGCGACTCCAGAAGCTGCAACCGTTACTGAAACTCTCCTGGAAGCTGTTGCTGCTTTTGGCTCTTCAGCTCGTCTATCTGGGCCTGAACAAGCAGAACTATGCAGAGAAAGCCCCCCTCGCACACTTCGCTCATGCTCTTCTTTCTTAGATTCTTCACTGCGATTCGAGCACTTTCGGCAAGACGGATCTCCTCGTCCCACACTCTATACAGGAACGGAACAGTGTGTCGGCTAGACGCAGACTTCCGGTGTAAGCAGCTCTCGAGGAGTCAACAGAAACGCGGGCGGCCGTAATGTTAGAGCAGTGAGACCATATGGAATGCTCCAGGACCTCGCTCTCGCTTGCTCGCTTGATCGCTTGCTTGCTTGCTTTCGCTTTCGCGGGGCTTCTTCCCTCGCCCTTTCTCTCTTTTCGCAGGTTTTGTCTCCTTCTTTGCACCAACCTGGATTCGGGCTGTGGGGGGGAGCATCTCCCGCTCTTTCTTTTTCTTTCATTCTTTGGGCATGCGGCATGAAAAGCGTTTCTTGCGACTCTTCCTGTCCGTTGCTCCTTGCCGGCCCTCCGTGCTGCGCAATGTTACAGCAAAGTCACCGTGAGGACCGCGACTTGGCGAACAGCAGCCTGAGCTAGCATCCAGCAAGGAAACAGAATCAAGAGAAGGTCTGCAGTTCCGGCCTGCTGCGAACCCATCATTTTGAGCAACGCTGAGTTTTCGTCCTCAAGCTCCGACAACTTGCGCTCCAACTCAAGCGTCTTCGCGGCTTCTTCCGGTGCACATTTTGCCTTCTGTGCAGCTGCCTCGTCCAATGCCACGGGAAATTCTAGACGACTGTGGATTTCGACCATGCAGCAAGTTTATACCCGGCAACGCTCGGTACACACGGCCTTACTAGTAGGAAACAAGAAGCCTAAGGAGGGGGAGTGGCTTCGGATGAAAAGGATGCAGCACCTCTCTCTATTAAGGATGCAGGCTCGGCACCTCTCCAACCCTGGTGAGTTGGGTGACTTAATAGCTCTTGAACAGGCATTTGCCAGCGCTGAAAAGCACGCTTCTGCAGGGGGCGCGCATGTATAACATGGCTTAGCAGGTGTGAAGAGGAGTGGTCACAAGTTTGAAGATTTGCATGAATGTCCTGCTTTTTGAGCGAGCCACCAACGAGTTGTGATGGAAAGCACAAACTGCTCCTGGACGTAGAGCGACTCTGATGAAAGCCTTTAAGGACATATGTGCGTCAAAGTTGGCATGCCTTTGTTGAAGAGAACCGGTGAGGTAGCAACTTCGAGGCTCACGTTGAAATCAAGCCCGCCCCGAAAAAGTTCCCAACAGCTTTGCATTCCCGACCTGCTGAGAGCCCATCATCTTCAGAAGCGCTGCATTCTCGTCCTCTAGTTCGGACAGCCTCCTTCGCAACTCTTCCTTGTGGGCCTTCTCTTCTTCCGCCTCTGCCATCAGCCGGGCATGGTTGGCACTCTCGACCGCCAGATCTTCTTCTGGGCCTGTGCTCTCCTTCACACGGTGCTGGATTGAAGGATTGAGGGACCCTCAAAACCTCACACACACACACACATGCTGGTCGGTACCCATCGCTGGAAACCCAAACAAACCCATCACCGACAGGGCACCTGGGCCACATCTGTTCAGAATAAGTTCTTCCAGATTGTCAAAGCCTTGAGACACATGATGTCCTAATGCCAGTGTCTCCGTACCTGTGTGGCAACTGCATGTTGCACTCTGGTGGTTCCGCAATTGGATATGCACATTTTTTTTGGCTCCTGCATGACGCGTCTCGCGTATTTATGCTCTTTGTATACATACATTATGAACTATATATATCACCATAGACGGCTATACATACATACGTACATACATACATGTACAGGTACATGTGTATATACATGTAAATGTATATGCTACCCCCCCCCATGTTCTACAGTTTTGTGTGTGTGCGCGCGTGTTTATGCAATGCCTGTGTTACTTTGCGATTACTTTCCCGTAGTGTGCGCATAAAACTACATAGATGCATGCCTAACGGCAAGAGGGTTTCAGACCAGATAGGCTTCGAGCGTAGTGATTCTAAGTGCGGAATCTGAAGTATTAACATGATGACCACAGCTCGTGTAAGTGCAATCGCTGTATTTGCTTGGATTCAAAATTTGTTGTCTAGATCCTCGAAATTATCCGCAGGATATAGCAGGCGGCCCCATCATTAGGCAAGAAGATAGGATGATGGGGTCACAACTGCTCACATTCAACCGCAAACTGACAACACTGATAACACTGCATCCCACACGCTGTGCACGGGCCTGCTGGGAGCCCACCATCTTCAGAAGTGCTGCATTCTCACCTTCTAGTTCGGACAGCCTCCTTCGCAATTCTTCCGTTTTGGCCCGCTCTCCTTCCGCCTCTGCCGCCAGCCGGGCGTGGTTGGCCCTCTCCAACGCCAAGTCTTCTTCCAAGACCTTGCTCTCCCCCACAAGGCTCTGAAGCTTTTCTTGGACATTGGCAGACGAAGCCAATCGGGCTTCAAGCTCTGCAGAGCTGCCATGCAAACGATGTACTTCCTGCTCCAATCCACGCCTTTGGGACTCCAGAGTACTGCAGAGTACCTGCAGCTCCTCCAGCTCTGGTGGCTCAAACCGATCTGCTTCCAACGCTGTTATCTTCTTTCGCAACTCTGCGACCTCCACCTGCAAGGTGGCGTCCGCCTGAAAGGCTTCGCAGTTGGCTTGGAGTGTCCCGAAGCCAGAAGCCGGGCTTGTTTGAGATGGGCTCTGGCTGATGCTCTCATCGCCTAGGCGATCAGCGGTCTTCTCCAAGCTTCGCCTGCACCACACAAATCAATGTGTTGGCATGAAACGAAGCCCTGAACCGCAACTCTCCCAGGAAGCCTTCGGGCACAGACTGGCGAGTGCTTTTAAGCGTGACACAGGAAGCACATCTGGAAACGAGACTATTGCTCTACAGAAGCGAGCTTCCCTTCCATACGTTAGCAACAGCCTTCAATTTTTTGCACTTTTCAGCTGTTAAAATCGATGCCATCAGGCTTGATCGAGCAAGCACCACTTTAGTGGGAGTCCAACTGCACCGATGCAAGCGACTGTGTGTAAGCAGATGAAGCCACAGCCGAGACCTATGCCACCGTGGCCTATGCCCACACATGTTCCACGTATCTCCCTGACTGCACCATCGCGGCAATCATGTTGGCTGCGGAAGAGCTGCTGTTGCCACCACTTTCCACCACCTTCTGGAAAACCCGCTTCACACCTGGGGCCATTGCACGGGCATCGCCACAAACAAAAACTGTGCACTTCGGATCTTGCAGAAGTCTCCAGACTGCATCCCTCTCTTCCCAGATCTTGTCTTGCACACAGACTTTTTGCCCCGATTCCCGGCTGAACGCGACATGAAGCGCCGAGAGAGCACCACTTCAAGTACCGACCCTCCAGGTCCTCCTGGTACAGATAGTCTTCATCCCTAGCACGGCAGCCAAAGGAAAGCGTAGCATGGCCAACCTTTGTGCCCTTCTTCAGCAAGGCTTCTCCATCTTTTCTCTGGTGCAGGAAGCCCATCATTGGTGCCAGGCCAGTCCCTGGCCCCACCATGATGATAGGTGCTTGGCGGTCTTCCGGCAAATGGAAATTCGACTGCATCGTCTCGACGTTTCCTGGGATGGCATCAATGGCATCACCAACCTCCATGTTTCCAAGACGTGTTGATGCAAGCCCACGATGAACATGGCATGTACCGGTCGTAAACTTCACCTGCCCAACAGTGACCGTGACGAAGCGTTTGTCCTGCAAGCTCTCTGGTTTTGAAGACACACTATACCTTCGCGGTGCAAGCGGCTTGGCGATCACGAGGATGTCACCAATTTGACACTCGAGCTTGCCTTTGAATGAATGAGCTCAGCCAGGGAGAGACCGACAGAAGCTACTTTGATTTTGTGCTGCTCGGCATCACTTCCAAGCAAGACGAGCTCGTCCCTCGCCACTGAGTTTGTCGCAAGCTGAGCAAGTGCAGCGCATGCTTTGCGTCCAGGGGGGCCTGCAAGATCAGGAAAGTATTGCAGAACCAAGCCTGCTGCTAAATGCAACGCTGGCAGCTTCTCCCACCAGCCCGCATCTTTGCCCAGATTTACATTCCGCCATTTCTTCTGCATCCTGTTGAGGTTCCACCGTACTGCCGCGTCCTCCCTTAGTTGCAACACATCGAGGACCATCTGCACCAACGCCGGATCATTCGGAGGCAGAACTTTCAAATGGTCCCCCGGCTGGTTGCCTGGATGATCTTCAGGAAGTCGCAGCGTCACGTGATGAACGCTTCGAGCTTGCGCAGCTCGCGGCTAGGCAAAACGACCTGTCCAACGACCAACACTTCAACATAGCTCGACCGTATTTAACCATGTTCAACCATACACGACGCCTGACCTTAAGACAAGTTCGTCCATCACGCCCATGCTCTGTACTATCTTTGCTTCATGGCCGAGGCACATCAAGAGCGACATTCCGGCTCGGAGGCGCGACTGCTTCGCCAACCAGCTTGGCGCAGTTTGCATGGCGGCGTTGATGGCAGCGACTCCATTCTTCACGTCGGCGCCTGCACAGTGACCTTGTCCAAGGGGCCGTTCTTCAGCATGAACTCGTCCCTTCCAGAGTCGTCCTCGGCTGAGGCGACGTTGGCTCCACCAGATGCTCCGCCAATTCTCTGCAGCAGATTCGCAAGCCAGTGTTCGAAATCGGAATCGAAGGAAGAGCTATCCACATCACAAGCTCCCAACCCGCAGATGCGCGTATCACCGCAGGAATGTAAACCAGCATCCACTTCTCGCGGAAACTGCTGGTATGTGTGCCACTGCGAGTTTCCAACCCCGAACACTGCAAATTGCATCCCATTCAAGGCATTGCCTTTCTGCTTCACCAGCCATTCCTTGAAGTGAGACGCATTGTCTGGGGCAAGGCCGTTGTAGGTGGATGTGACAACAATGACCGTTCGCCCATCTGGCACCATCGAGCCCATGGAAACTGCAGCATCCAGGGTTTCCAAAGAAGCTTGGAATCCAGCCTTGCCCGCTGCTGCCACCACCTGAGAAGCGAATTCTTGGCTGGAGCCGCGTTGGATCCATAAAGAACCTTCTCACAGGACCATCTGCGCTCTCCTTGTGGCCATTCGTACTTTCCACGCTGGTCTTTTGGGGCTGGGCTTTCGGACCATCAGGCGTCAGCGCCAATGCAGGAAGCGGTTGCATTGGCCAGTGTGCGACCAAAGTGGCCCTCCAGGACGCTCCGCCCGCGTGGGTGCTGGCCACAATCTCGTACCCTGGGATGCCCTCGAGACGGAAGTGCAGAAGCATGGAAGCAAGAAACGTATTGGCCTCAAAGAGGGCAAACTGGCTGCCAATGCAAGAGCGTGTTGGGAAGCCCCATGGATGATAAGCGTTTGGATGTCTGTCCTTCACCGCATCCGGAGAGAAGCGATCAGGGTTGAAGGATAAAGGATCTCCAAACTGCCCACCCCAATATTCCGGATTCGTATGCAGTGCCCGTGTGACCACCACAATCCGCTGCCTTTGGTAAATCCGGTGGCCTCCCAGCAAGTTGTCATGCGCAGCATCCCGAGTTAAGCGTCGCAGGACTGTACAAGCGCAAGGCCTCTCGGAAGCACTGCTCAACAAACTGAAGTTTGGGCACATCGTCTACCGATGGCTCAGTCTTTCCAGCACCTCACGCACGTCTTGCAAGGCCCTGGCTTCATATTCGGGGTGCTGTGCCAACAATTGCATGGTGAATCCAAGCGTTGCAGCTGTCGTCTCATGGCCTGCAATCATCAAGTTCACCACATGGCCATAAAGCGCACCGTAGCGGATGTGTCTGCCATCGCTTGTGCGGTCCTCGAGCATTGCCCTGATGATCGAGTTCTGTCCACCCATTTCACCTTCGCAGGTCTCCGGGGATTGGAGTTAAACAGCGTCGCTCGATATGAACATGTAGTTGCGTACTTCAACAATTGCCCCGCCTGGGCTCGAGAACGCTACCTTTCTGCGTGGTCCGCAGCGCAATCAAAAAGAGCACGTCTTCGACGCGCTGCCGCAAAGAGAAAACGAAAGCCGATCGCTGCACGCTGAAAATCAAAAAAGTTCCGTGGCAGAAACGAATACAAAAGACTTTCTCTGAAAAGCATCGGTGTCTGCACCAAGGGTGGACCAGGCACACTGCAGCAAAGCCAGTGGAAGGTCAGATGTAGGGCCCCGGGCCCCATTCACAGCATGCCAGCAATGCCGAAGAAAGAACGACGGATGTAGCCTATTGGATCCAGCGCCACCCCCAGCTTAGAAGAGTCAGCCAGGACGTCGCTGACGAGCGGCATGTCTCCATCAACGTTGGCGGTGCCGGACGAGGGAAGGGAAAGGAGGCTGGCAGCAAAGGTCCGCGCTCAACACAAACGCGGCAGTGCACGCCGCCCGCTGTGCAGGGGGAGCGGCACGGGCCTTGCTCCGGGCAGGGAGTCGGACAAACTCAGTGGACTCAGTGGCTTGGGGACTCCAGCGTCCTCCGACCTCAACGCCAAGGACGACAAGCCGACAGCGGCCCCCGGAAGCAAGCTCTGGGTATATCCCAGTTTTGGCACGTTCAGCAACAAGCAAAGCTGCCCGAGCGGTGCGGCCGCTGTCCCGGCGTGGCATGCCAGCTGCAGTGAGCGCCGACACCAATGTGGTGTCAACGGCAAGCTGCACACCGCCCCACAAAGGCAGGCCGTTCGCGATGACTTCGATGAGTCTCTCGTCCTGGCGGACAGGGACAACATTAAGATCACCTACATGCATCGCGACAGCGGTGCCCGCCTCCCGGCAAACTCTGGCCGCCGCTCGTTCAGGTGGGCCCCCATGCGAGCGCAACACACCAGACTGTGGGCAAGCAGCAAGGTGATCACCGAAGGCATCATGCGGTTGACGACACCGGCATCTCGCGGCGGTGAGCGGGAGTGGCAGGCGGCGGACAGAGAGTCGCGGGCAGTTTGAAGCGGCAGCAACTCTGACAGCTCGCCTGCTGTTTCCAAGCTGGACACGTCGAAGGGCGAAAGGGCGGTCGCGCTTGAGCATGGCTGCGCAGGCCGAGGCCGCCATGGTGCAGAGCCAACTGCACACGAGCGGCGACTTGGCCAGGTAATCCGTTAGCGGCGTCAGCGAACAGAAATGAATCGAGGCACCTTCTAACACTGCGGCATCATGACGCATCGCATACTCGTGTGTGCTGGCACTGGGGAGCGTGCGGAGAGCATACTGCGCCCGTGGGCATGCGCAGCAAGACAACAGCAGCCACCCGACCTGTGTGTCGTGCAGGTTCGGCAATTGCTTACGGAGATGGTCGAGGACTGCCAACAGTATAGGTGGACGTGCGACCCAGCCACAAGCGCACGAACGGCAACAGCGCCGACGCCTCGGCATGCCTCGAGAACCTCCGTCAGCTCATGCAACACGGTTTGTCGGCTCATGCCGTCGTAGGCGGCAGCTGGTTTTTTTCCTCGTAATCGGCCCGCAATCTCGGCTCTGGGGCCTAGCCTACCGCTACCGGATCGGAAAGCCTAATAGGCCTAATAAAGGCTCAGGAAAATCTCTGGATAAGAACGGCAATAGAACCAGATAAAACTGACCACCAAAGCCACCAGACAGACCTTTCCTGTCTCGGTCCCCGGCAGTCGGCCACAGACCGGAAATCAAGCAACCCATGGACAAGCCAGGATTAGCCGCAGCCGTGCCCGGAAGGGAGCGGACGGATCAAAATCTTGTAGGAACAGACATCACAAGTTGTTTCAATGTGGGAAAAATA